CTGGCCTCGAACTCACAGAGATCTGCCTGTCTCTGCCTCCCGAGTGGTGGGATTAAAGGCATGCACTACCGACGGGCTTATAAAAATAATGTTTTAAAGAAAGGGATATTTTTTTAAATGATTGAATGGAAAACTGACTAGCATCATTAAAAAAAAAAAAAGAACAAGTTACTGAATGGCAAGAAGTGGAGAGAAGAATCAAATTGAGCAAACTTCACAGGCATAGACGCCTCAATCCAAGCACAATTGCCTAAGCTATTTCATTGGTCACTGGGGGAAATCATGGGCTGGAGAGATGACTCACTCACTGGGTAAAGACTTGTTACTCAGCTTCAAAACCTGAGTCTCCTGGTTAAATTTTTAGCCCACTGGTGCCACCTGGGAAGAGGAAACCTCCATGAGGGAATGGCTTCCATCAGACTGGTTTGTGGGCATTTTCTTGATTAATGGTCGATATGCAGAGGCCAGTCCACTGTGGGCAGTGCTATCCCTGGACGGGCGGTCCTAAGTTGTACACAAAAGCAAACAAAGCAAGTCAGTGAGTAGCACTCCTCCATGGTCTCTGTTTCAGCTCCTGCTTCCAGGAGGACTATGTAGTGAAAAATGCAAGCTAAATTAACCCTTTCCTTCCTCAAGTTGCTTTTGGTCATGCGGTTTACCACAGCAACAGAAAGCTAACTAGAACACCCAAGGACCCACATAGTAGTAGAAAACCTCTGACCCTACAGACACACAACATAAGTTAAAAAATAAAAAATGAAACCCCACAAATCTCTGTTTTTATAGAAGAAAAAGCTTCAATTTAGCATGGTTTGACACAGAATTTTTTTTTCTATTTGTTGCTAATGTGAAAGCCATATACATTTGTTAGAAGCTGTGCTGTGAGTTGGAAATTTGATATTGTCCCAGGCTAGTGACAGATGATAATATCCTCTTCCTCAGTGCTGAGCAATGGCATGTCACCACTCCCAGGCAGCCACACAATAACCTGAAGCTGTATAGTGTGGTGTACAGGTTAGCTGTATTCAATGCATTTTGAACTCAGGATATTTTTACTTCATGATGACTGCAGCCCTTTCTAAGCTAAGAGTAGTTATGTGAGGGGACTGGAGAGATGGCTCAGAGGTTAAGAGCACTGGCTGCTTTTCCACAGGTCCTGAGTTCAGTTCCCAACAACTACATGGTGGCTCACAACCATCTATAATGGGATCTGGTGCCCTCTTATGGCACGCAGGCATACATACAGGAAGAACACTATACACATAATTAAAAAAAAAATTAAGAGAATTTATGTGGGAAAATTACCCTAAAGCATCCACATAAACTTTTTGGCATGAAAACTGAAGAGGCAGGACCACGGCTCAACACAGGCACTTAACTTCAAAGCTGTCCTCTTTCTTTGTATACCACATATTGCAGGATTAGCAGCCAATCCTCTGTAGAAGAAGGCTGGCTATGGGGGAGCAAATAAGCAGGCTTTTCCTGTGGTCTCCTGGAGTGCTGTTTTGGTTTTAGGCGATATTAGTGTTTGAGAGCTGTGGATCTACCTCAATTTTGAATCTCTGTGCCTGTATAAAAAGGAAGGTTTGTGGGGAACTATGGCTGGGAGAGTGGTGTGGGCTTGCCCTTCCTCCTAGGTTCTAGCTGCTGAGCCCAGAATGGAAGCCAAACAGAAGGGTTCAAGTTCAAAGCGGGACATGTCTATGCTTCTGCAGAGTGCTCTCCGAGGACCAAGTGTATCACTCATCCTCAAGTTTCTTCCCCAGTTAGTCTCAGACCCAGAACAGTAGATGTAAAATCACAATCCACAGGTGACTGTGTATGCTGAAGGCCATTCTCCAACACACACACACACACACACACACACACACACACACACACACACACACACGGTTCAAGGAAGGAGAAAGCACTCGGTAGCCCAAGAAAGAATATAACGTCATAAGCCACAAATGAAACCCCTTCCTCTATGAATACTTCAGCTATGGAAAGTCCCAAACTCTGCTATGGCCCACATCGGATGCTGCCTTCAACATACATTGACATAATCCTCTGCCATTTAACAGACGTTTTCTGTGGCCCCTGAGGAACAGAGAGAGATTTGGTGATTCTTCTCCATGGTTAACCAGAGTAGATGGTAAATGGAATAAACCTATATCAAGCATGTCATGTTAGGAGAGTTTGGGGAGTCATTGAAAAATGTAGCCCTACTTGAGAATGAATCAGAGAGTCAGGCTAGTGGATGTATCCCAGCCCTCCAGGGGCTGAGGCTGATAGACCACTCGTCAGTTTCGGGTTACCCTGGGCTTCAGAGCAATACCCTTCATGTCCTCTTCTTAATTTTCCTTTTTTATTGTTTAAATTTTTTTATTTTATGTGTATGGGCTCTTTGTTTCAGTGTCTATCTGTGCATCTCATGCATGCCTGATGCTCATGGAGGCCAGAAGGGTCCCTTAGAATAGATAGTTGTGAGCCACTATGTGGGTGCTGAGAATTGAGCATGGGTCTTCGGAACAAAAGCAAATGCTCTTAACCACTGAACTATCTCTCCAGTCTGAATTTTTGTTTTTTAATTTTTTAATAACTCACTGAGTCCAACTCATGCTGGTGTACACACCTATGCATGTGGGTGCACAGTTCCCCGGGGAGGCGTGGATGAGCTACCTATTAATGGCCATACTCTGAAAGGTATCGACTCTCCCAACAGTCATCAACTCCTAGTAGGGATGGGACTTGATGAGCTTCTCCCCTAGCACTGCTGGGATGTTGATTGGCTGGCTCTCCTGCAGGGAAGCACCCTCCGCTGCTGTCAAGTCCATTCACAACACCCTTTCCCATTCTGATATTCTTTCTGCTCCTTTTGGCAATGTGTCCTGCGCCTTGGTGGCCTAGGTGCAGATGTCCCATTTGGAGCTCAGCCCTCAGCAATCACTTATTTGCAGCTCTTTGACCATCTATGAATCTCCGCGCTAACTGCTACCCACTACAAGAAGAAGACTGACCAAGGCCGGGAGCAGCACCCCTCTACTAGCATAAACATAAACACAAACATTTACCGAAACTATAGTAGTAGGTTTCCCCCTAGAACCTAGGGCATGCCCAGCTATAGACTTTGGGCCAGGTTTACAGTATCAGGCATCGATCCCCTCCTATGGAGCAGGTCCCATATCAGAAAGTAGTTGGTTACTCTCATAATGGTCATGTAAGTACTAGACCACTGGGTTCAGTGTACCTCAGTGCATGCTCCATCAGTGAGTAAGATCATTGATGTCTCCTCCCTCCATGGTCTACATAGCACCTGGCACTATGAAAGCTAGCCAACAAGGAGAAAGGTTTCCTGTCAGTTCCAGGCTGAGTTCTCCATGTTTACCATAAGTGTATGTTGTCTTCAGCCATTAAGTCTTACTATTGAGTTCCAGGCAACACCCTGTCTTAAACAAGCAAAGAAATCAGTGACCCAGGGCCTGGGCCAGATGTAGCTCAACAATAGAGCACTTGCCTGGTATGAATCCCCAGTACTTCAAAGGGTGGAGTGGGGGATGGAGGGAGACTGATCTAGAGAAGACCTCTCCTGCCCATGATTGGCTTAGTGAGGAGAAAGCTACAGAAAAGGAGGAAAGGCCTGTGATAGTCAAGGAGGGGGACCAGATTTGGGTTCCCAGCTGGCCCCTAGGAGCCACCAATCAAGTTTGAGAAAAACAAAGGGTTCCTTTGTTGTTGTTGTTTTCCTTTTTGGTATTTTGAGGAAATGTTTCTCTGTAGCTTTGGAGCCTGACCTGGAACTCACTTCTGTAGACCAGGCTGGTCTCCAACTCACAGAAATCCTCCTGCCTCTGCCTCCCAAGTGCTAGGATTAAAGGTGTGTGCCATCACCACCCAGCTTGAAAAATGAAGGATTTTTAAGATCAACCCCCTTTGTACTTAGCTTTTATTTTTTAACATGTATTTTTATTTTATGTGCATGGGTGTTTTGCCTGTATGTATATTCATGCACCATGTACACGTAATGGCCAGAGAGGTCAGAAGAGGGTGTCAGATCCTCTGGGTCTGGAGTTATAGACAGTTACATGATGCCATGTGGGTTCTGGCACTCAAACCTGAGTCTTCTGCAAGAGCAGTCAGTCCTCTTAACCCCTGAACCATCTCTCCACCACCACTACCGCTACTGCTAACCCCCAATTTAATTTTTTTTTAAATAAGATCAACCCTTTTAAATCTCAGATAACAACCAAAAGTATAGGAACCACATATTTCAGAGTTTAGTCATAGGTTGTCTGCTCTGGCAGGTCTAGTCAACACTTTTGAAAAGGACATGCCCAAACTCCATAGGCCTAGCTGGCAGCCACCAATGCAGATCCCCAGGGTGAGGAAAACCACTGAGTTAAATCCCAGGCTTGTTTTCATACCCCACTTCCAATATATCAACCTCTCTTTACCTTCCCCAGAACCAAATATCCCCATGTGTTGAGTCCTTTGTGGCTCTCCTCTAGGAACGTTTTATCAGGAGTTCCACACTTCAAGTCCCCTCTCACCCTCCATCCAGGACATAAAAAAAGATGATTCCCACAAACCACATTTATTTGGGGATAATTCATCAAAAGAATTGCTTTTGTTGCTTTGCATCTCTCTGAGTCTCTTAGTAACTCATTCACAGAAAATCCTGTTCACATTAAAGACCTGAACCAAGTGACTGCTTGAGACCATGGGCAGACCAGCCAGCTCTCCACCCCACCAGCCAGCACACACTTCTGGGAGAAGCCCATTGTCTCCCTCCCCTCATCAGTGCCTGTTTATCTGGAGCAATTCGGTCTTCCTGCCAGTCTCCAAGCCCTCCATCTTCAGGCTTCAGAAGACCAGCCGAGACGCAGAAGTCTAAAATAGCTGGTACGGTGGCTCAGGGGCCACCAAAAACAGAGTCTTTGCCGCTGCCGAGACGAAGTGCCCTCTTTCTTCCCAGAAAGTTTGCTGCTTTGGGAATCCCCCAAGCTGACTATTTTGGGTTTTGGTTTTTGGTTTTTTCAAACTGGATTATTTGGATCTGACTGAAGAGAGGGCCAGACTGGATGCTCTGGAGGAAGAAGGCCAAACTGGGTGCTATAATGGGAAAGAAACAAACACATGTGTAAGGAGGGGAGAGTCAGCAGTGAAGTGTCTGACCAGCAAGTCCTGGGTTCAATCCCCATCATAGAAAAAGTAAGTTGAAAAGCAACAGTAGCAGCCTCTCAGTGAAATGTTCCTCATATGTTTGGCATAATATTAAATTCTATATGCATTGCCTCATTGAGGCAAATACTACTTTTCTCTTTTTGGAAACAGGGTCTCAAGTAACCCAGACTGGCCTCAAACTTACTATATAGCAGAAAATGACATTGACTTCTAAGATAAGAAAACAAGCTCATAGAAGCTGTTGCCTACCTCTCAGTATCATCTGCGAAGTTTTGGAAGCGGAGTATGGATCCCACCATTTAATATCAGAGTCTGAGATCTGAACTACCCCGTGGAGACCCTGATAAAAGTGTTATGGGTGGGATACTGGGTCCAGGAGTCCTGCAGATATCAAAACCCATGGATGTTCAAGGCCCTAGAAGTGGCTTGACACTTGTATATAATCTACAGAATACATGCTCATCTGTACTTAAAAGCATGTAAATGCTATGTGATTAGGTGTTCTGATGTGATACTTAATGAAAAACAAGAAAATGTCTGCACATGTTCATTGTAGATATTTCTCAAATATTTTCCATGTGTGGTTGGCTGAACCATAAATTCTGGAAACAAAGACACAGTCTACATTAAAGCAATTTAATCAAGTCAACAGCAAAAAAAAAAAAAAAAAAAAAAAAAAAATAGGCTACTTATTGTCATTCTCTATCAAAGAATACCTCTGCTGCTAAGATTTCAAACAAGAGTCTGTAGCCCAGAGTTTGGCCACAAGAGTGTGGGGTGTGTGTGTGTGTGTGTGTGTGTGTGTGTGTGTGTGTGTGTGTGTGTGGTGTACATGCCTATACACATAGGGGCCAGAAGAAGATATTGGATTATCCCTTGGAGCTGGAAACAAGTATGCAGGGCTCCCACCTATTATCTGGTCCTCATGATTGCAAAGGAAGCACTCCTCGCTGCTTAGCCACCTGCTAGCCTCCTATGGGTTTATTTAAATGGCACACACAGTGGTGCTTCTATCTATCTATCTATCTATCTATCTATCTATCATCTATCATCTATCATCTATTTTGAGGAAAGGTTTCTCTATGAAGTTCTTGCTGCCCTGGAACTCACTCTGTAGACTAGGCTGGCCTTGAACTCAGAGATTCACCTACCTCTGCCTCCTAAGTGCTAGGATTAAAGGCAGGTGCCACCATGCCAAGCACGTCTTTCTTTCTTTCTTTTTTAAAGATTTGCTTAAAAAAAAAAAAACAACTATGTATATACAGGGGAGGTGTGCATGTGAGCACAGGTACCGACTGAGGCCAGAGGCATCAGGATCCCTGGAACTGAAGTCAAAGACACTTAGGAGCTGCTAAACATGACTGTTGAGATCCAAACTTGGGTCCTCTGCGAGAACAGCATGCACTCTTGAGTGCTGAGCCGTCCAGCACCCAACATATAGTGTTTCCACGTAACCTGGCCAGCCCTGAAGACCTCTGTGTTTACAGCCTGGGCCTTGCCTCACCCATGCTTTAGCAGGCCTGAGGCATGAAGGGGACAGAGGCACTGTTTCCCTTGCACAGCATGTGAGTAGCTGTGAAGAGCACTGCTGCTCAAACACATCTCCACCTCAAGACTTTCTCCAGTGCTGGTGGGTGACACTCCCACCAGCAGCCATGCCTGAAGGTCTCTACAGCCTGGCCTGTTACTGGAGTGTCACATGGCAATAATGGAAGAAGGGTGTAGAAGAAAATGACTCTATTCATCCACAACTTCAGAAGGGCTAATGTTTTACTTGGTGGAAGGGGGCCAGATCTCTGATCTCACACTGCCCAGGCAGAACTTTCTCTACTGCCATCAGCTGGGAGTCATGTGTCTCTGTGCAGTGTGACAGGGCAAACAGCCCATCATTCCAAACACTCTGGAGGCCTGCCTTCCTGAACCCAACAGACTACAGCTCACCGTGGGGTGGGGGCCATTAATCAGTCTACAAAATAATGTGGTGCCACTGTCAGCCAATTCCTTTCTTCCTACCCCTGCACCTTGTACAGCAAGAAGCCATTTCCGGCTGCCTTCTTCCCTGAGTTGCCTGCATGTCAGTTAGATCGTGAGACGGTAACAACCAAATTTAGAATAAACAAAGCCAATGACCAAAAGGACGCTATTTTTAATGTTTTTAAAAACTGTGTGTTTACGATGTGTGGGCATGCATGCGTGTGCAGTTGTGTGCCTGAGTGCAGACACATGCACTTGGAGATCAGAAGCCTTCCACCTCATTTGAGGTCTCTTCCCTGTCTGCTGTCACCTACACTGGGCTGTGTTTCCACCGCTCATCTTCCGTATGGCCTGGGATTATAGATGGGTGTGCTAACAGCTTTTTATGGGTTCTGCAGATTCAAACCCAGCTCCTCATGCCTGTGCAGCAAGCACTTTACCAAGCCTTTTCCCTAGCCCCACAGCTTGTTTGGGGGCAGGGTCTCATTATCAGCCACGTTGGCCTTCAACTGGGTGTGCAGCTGAGAATGACCCTGAACTTGTTTTGGGGTTTGTTTTTGTTTTTATTTTTTGGGTTTTTGGAGACACGGTTTTTCTGTGTAGCTCTGACTGTCCTGGAACACACACTATAGACCAACCTGGCCTCAAACTCAGAGATCGGCCTGCCTCTGCCTCCCGGCTACTGGGATTAAAGGCGTGTGCCACCACCATCCAGCAACCCTGTATCCTGCTGTCTCTTCAGTGCTAGGATTACAGGCATGTAACTACCACAACCAACTTACATGGCACTGGGAATCAGGCCCAGGAAACAATCACTTTATACACCAATTGCGTCCCTAGCCGCCTACTTTCACCTTTCACTCCCCTGCAGGTCTTGTCTAATGATCTAATTTGCTTTATTACATCTATTTGACCAGAGCTGGGCTAATGAGGGTAGGCTTCCTCCCTACTTTCTCTGCGTGTACTCTCTATCATTGACTTTAATCCTAAACAGAGTTTATTCTCTAGGCTTCCTCCTGCTTGGGAAAACAAAAAAAAAAAAAAAAAAAAAAATCTGTCCTCTGCAAACAACCTCTTGCGGTGGGGTGGCCTCACACTCCTGTCTCCCAGAGCCTCCCCAACACCTGCTTCCTCTCCAGAAGGGCCGAGAATAGTCCTCACCATGGTCATGTAGGTGGCCTCTGATTGTCCACTTGGTCCTCCATCCATTGACTCCCACGTAGTTATTGAGGAGTAGACATGTTTCTGGGGTGGGGGGAATACAAAATTCTTAAGGGTCATGCAAGAAAGGGACCACCTACTCCTGTTCACAGGATATCAGCTACCAAAGCCATGTAGTTCAGAGGGTTATGGAGTCAGAGAATGGTTACACTGATGATCATTATGGCATCAGTCTTCCTGAATGAAGTCACAGGAAATGGCCTCAAGAACCAAACTGTCTGCTTCAAAACCAAAGACCCTTGCATCTCTAGGCATTGACTTGGCAGTGAGGGACCCTCATCCTGCAGAATAACTTGTAGGCTGTGACCAGTTTCTTCTGATTAGTAATGGCAAGTTGGCACTAATCATCAGCTAACTGTTGTCCTCTCACAGAGGGTTGATGTGGCAAGGACAGCCCTCCCTGAAGCTCACAGCTCAATGATCTGAGGACTGTGATCTACCATTGTGTCACTCTTAGGAAAGTGACACATTTTCAGGCTTTCAAGGATTGAACCAGCCTGAACAAAAATACTAGGGACAAAAGCAACCCAAACCTCAGGAAGTCTATCACAGAGAAGTGTCTAAAAGTCAAAAGGGGGAAGGGAGAAGGTGGGGCAGAGGAGGAAAGAATGAGGATACAGGCACTCAGGGAAATCAATCTCTCAGCTCCTGTTTATAACTCCACCACGTCAAAGCATGAGGCGGGGCAGGAGGAGTCCTTCTTGGTCCCCTCTGAAGGCTCCTGAATGCACCTCCTCAAAATCAGAGCTTTCTGGTTCCAGGTTCAGGGCTCTTGGCTATACCTGGCCCAGGATCTGCTGCCCAGGGCTGATCTGGCCCAGGCTACCTTGTCCCAGCCCATTCCTCTGCAGCAGTGATAAAGGTCCTGAGTCACTGCTGTGCACAGAGCCATGGCCTGTGAGCTGAGAGCTGAGACTAATGAGCAAGATACCGTTCCCAAGTGATGGCCTCCACCCTCCACCTCCCAGTGTTTCCTACTCAAGTGTGCGTCCATTTGTGTCCCCCTCAGATGGCAGGTTGTCCTCTCACCTCTGGATTAGTCTTCTCTTTGTTCTCCAGGCTCTTCAAGGAAGCTGTAGAATTCACTGAACTGTAAGGCATGAAAAGTACATGGAATGAACACTCTGAACCCCACAAGTGTACCTAGAAAGGATCCTATACTTACTGGGTGTTTTGCATCCAGTGGAACACCCATGTCACAAAGGATCTTTAAATCACTTTATGTAGAGACCCTGGGGAAGAACTAAATACACACAGGGCAGCTCTTCTGGTAGGAAGTGGGAAGCTACTCTGAGGATAGTTTAGGCTGAAATATGACTTCACCTTCTCTGTTTTCACTCTAACCACTTCTGTCCCAGAGTTGGAGGCAGAGTATAAGTAGGCACAGTGGCATCTTGAAGTCCTAGCTACTACTGAAGCATGGAGCCAGGAGTTCAAAACCAGCCTTGGCATCATGTGGAGACCCATTTTAAATTTGTCATCATCATCATTAGTGTGTGTGTGTGTGTGTGTGTGTGTGTGTGTGTGTGTGCGTGTGTGTATCACTCAAGTTACAACATGTGAGTAGAGGTCAGGGGACAACTTTTAACAATCTGTTCTCTCTTTCTACCTTGTTGAGACAGTCTCTCTGCCTCTGTCTCTGTCTCTGTCTCTCTCTCTCTCTCTGTCTCTCTCTCTCTTTCTGCTCCCTCTGCCTATGCCAGGCAAACTGGCTGGCTAGCTTCCAGGTGATTCTCCTGTCTCCTCATCTCATCCCACCATGGGAGAGCTGGGGTCACAAATATGAGCCATAGGATCTGACTTTCACGTGAGTCCTGGGAACTGACCTTAAGGCATCTTCCTGGCCTAAGAGATCTCATTTTAACAAGTAGGGAGGGGAAGAAAGGGAAGGGAAAATGTGAACAGAGGAGGAAATATAATTTTAAATGACTGAATAGAGCAAGCCCATGGTATTTGACGTCACTATCTTTCTCTCAGTACTGAGAACAATGAGCAGCACAAAACCAGCAAGACTACATTTCCCAGGTCAGTGCCCCCCCCCAGTGACACCCCGCCCCAGGCTGTTCACTGACCCTTCCTTGATCAGGCCCTTTGACTTTGATCTCTGGGCCAGTTGTCTCATGCATTTGTCACTAAATGTACCTTTTTTGTTTTTTTAATGTTTTGATCTAAGGCAGATATTTTAAAAAACAAAACAAAACAGGGATTTAAGCATAAAAATAAATCACGTTTGTCTCAAATGGAAATGCTTTTAGCATATGATTGTAACATTGTCTGTTCTCACTTAGCCAACAGGATTGTTATCCTCAATATCAGATAATGTTTCAGAACTATATCCTTCAGAACCCCTGTCAATGATGGGTTAAGTAAATTCCCAGACAAAACATATCCAGTGTACATGGACTCAGTATTGCTTCCTTTCTATAAGATCATACCGTGCATTTCCTTTACAACCTTCCTAGCTACCATCCTATGTCATCGCTTGCTGCAGGCTTGTATGTAATAATAAGTATATTCAATGGAATGCTCACTTACCCAATCATTGCCTTCCTGAGAGATGCTGTGCTCATGACTACAGATTTTTATTAGCAGCCAAGTTGCAGTGAACTGTATTTATGTGGGAATCTCTGGATAGTGGTATTTCTTTAGAATGACTTTCCTTGACAAGGAGGACCAGAGTATGGACATAAATTGGGAGTGGAACTTATACTGTCTGGTGTAGTGCTCTTAGTCTTATGCTCAAATGCATGCCTGGTGCAATGAACTTAGAGGTGCCAAGTTCAACGCCAAATCAGACATCTCTGGGAGTAGTGGTGCACCTGGGCAGGCACAGTGACTTTCTTTACAATCTGCATGTCCCTGGGAAAAGTCACTCAGACATCAGCATTGTGAGGCTAGAGGTGTGACTTGGTGGTAGAAAGTTTGTCTAGAATGTACAAGATCTGGGGTTCAATCCTCAGCACAGTAAAAGAGGGAAAAAAGCCAATATTCCTTAGTCTTTATCATTGCTGTTATTTCAGCTGGGGCATTAGCTTAAACTGCCAACATGTTTCATTAATATTCTATAAACAGAGGAGCACAGAGCTGCTGATAGCCAGTAAAATACTAACATCTGTATCCTGGCATTTGGGCATTTCTAAGAGTCTGGGAGAGCTAGTGATGAAATTCAGTCCTTGAAAACATTTCAATTCAGGCATAGTGGTACATACCTGTAATGTCAGCAAATGAGGGGCTGAGACAGGAGGACCATGAGTTCAAAGCCAGCCTGGGCTACATAGGGACTTCCTGTCTCACTCTCCTCCCCAATTCATAACTTCTCTTAAGCAGTCCACAGGTATTATTACAGCTCTTGCATGAGGTCTATATCTGAATTGTGTTTTACTCAAACCCCCATTTGTGAGGGGGCTGATAATCTTTGTATAACAGCAAGGAGAATGACATGGTATACTAATCTAAGACTTTCTGAAGTATGGTGAGCAAAGCGGGCAGAGCCAGCTACAATGACATGAAATATAACAATCAATGTGCCATCACAGGGAACTGGCACTCTCTTCCACTTTGGATTAGATGAGATCAGGCTCAGATTAGGGTGGAACGGATACTCTTCCACTTTCATTTAGAAGCCAACTACACACTTGGGCCTCCTGACTGGAGGGGTGGGGATGAACATATACCTCTTATTCCACTGGGTTTTCTTCACAATTAGTATCAAAACTGGGAGCAGCAAGAAGGTGGCACAGACAATCCCCACAATTATCACCAGCTGATTCCCATCCAGGATCACTGGCCGATTGGTCTTGGGTCGAGGAGTTGTTGCAATCAACACTTGGGACAAGGAGAAAGCTTCCAGAGGGTCTCCGTATTCTAGAAGAGAAGAGAGCTCCAATAACCCTATGCCAGATAGCAGCAGCCAGGTCAGGAAGCAGAGAAAGAAGACCACGCTGCATCCCACATCAGGACACAGGAATGCCATGCCCATTTGACTAAAAGCCAGACCAACCCCCTTGCTTAGCCCTGAAGTGAGGATTGAAGTGGCAGAAGTGGCTGCCTTCACCTATGCTAGATCACCCTTTTACATCAGTAATTCCATGTTAAAACTTGGTTTACCAGATGACTAGACAGAACAGTCATTTTCAAGACCACTGACTGACATTGTCCTATGCATAGTCACAATGCTAAGTAGGGCAGCCAGGGTGTTTCTACTGGTATAACAGCCTTCACTCGGTTCATCTATTCACTCTAAAGACACATATAAGCATGTGTTTAGTACTGGAGATCTCTAGATATAGAGGATGCCTACAAAGACATTTGATGACAAAGGCATCCCACCTCTAGGGAGGGACAGATGTCTGTCTGTGGGGAAACAGAAGGGCACAGAGAAAGCAGATGCTCGGTTCTGCGAAGAACATGGGAAGAGACCTTTGGCGGCAAGTGTTAAATTTTAATGTGAGTTTTAAAAGAAGTGTTCAGCTGGTTGGGCCGTTGATGACTGGAAGGAAGGCCAAGATGGTGTGCACAGTCTGGTAGACCGACAGGGTGTCTTGAGGAAGTGGAAACAACTTGATAGGTGCAGTTCAAAGGCTGAGGCTGAGGATGTGGTAGGATGAAGAAACAATGGCATCCAAGTCAGGAAGGAGTGCCATAGCCACGGCAAAGTGGTTGGCTCTGTTTTTCTTTTCCTTTCTTTGGCTACAGGTCCTGGTGAAGTCAATGAGAGGTGTACCTACAAGTTGTGGGATGGAATGCTCCAACTTGTGATTCAGAAAGAAGGCACTAGCTAAGGATGAGAGCACAGAATGGTTAGAGGCTGAAGGTCTAAAACAGAGAAGAAGACTGTCAGAACTAAGGCCAGTGAAGGGCTGGAAGGAAGGTGGCTTCAAAATCAGCCATAGAAATGGCACGACTTACTCATCTGTTAGGATAGGAAAGGGAAGACTCAGGGGCCACCCCCTGGCATCCAGTTACATGATTGTATCCACGGTGGTAGTATTCCCCAATGTCAGAGAGATGGGATGAGGGAGAGCCATGCATATTTGAAGAATCTGTAGAAGTTTTGTGTGTAGTTGAAATATATACATGCATATGATAACTCCTGCTCTCCTTCCTTACACAGGCACACACAACCAGCCTTCATCTCCATGTGTCCTCATGCTTGGATTAGACCAACTGCAAAACTGTTTTCTGTGTTGAATTATATTAAGACCTTTTTTCTTGTCACTCCCTAAGCAATCCGGGGCAACAAATACTTATATTAGGCATTAGCAGTAATCTAGAGGTGATTTTGAGTATACTGGAGGCTATGTGTATGCAATAAACAGATACTTTTTAAATATGGCATTTTCATAGAAGGAGCTTAAGCACCCACAGATTTTGGTGTTTTCAATGGAGGAGAAAGTCCTGAAACCAAATTTCCTCAGATATCAGGGGACACACGTGGCTGTGTATAAACATTTGTGCCAATCTAATTGTGCCCATTATAGAAGAGAGGTTAAACACAGCGTCTAATATCGCTTCGCTGAAGAAGGCTGGGAATGGGTGACTGGCATGCCTCTGCTGATATAAGGGAGAGTGGGCTTGACAGTATAAGCCTGAAGAAAAACAGAACTGTAGGATGAGACCTGAGTGGGACACTGTTGGGAGAAGGAACTGAGCTAAACACCAATAGGAGAGAAAGTGCAAGCTCAAAGCCACACCAGGAGACTCCCCAGTGGAGGGATGCCAGAGCATAGGGCAGGAAGGAGCTCATCTGCCTCAGGATGGTGTGGGGAGGTAAGCATGGGGGTAGGCGTAGACATTTCTGTGGGTGGGCTGACCTCAGAAGGAGGTGAGCCCCCACTCGCCGCTTTGGTGTGTTTTTTCCGTGGAGTGGAAGGAAATGCTTTTGAGAACGGAGTACACAGGGGGGTGAAGATGTCTTCTTGAAGGTGACTCTGGCCTGAGACACCGAGGTACTTCCCTTTCTAGTCATCCCCCCTACCCACCCACCCCTAGCCAACCACTAGCAGCTACTTCAGGGCCCCGGTGAGAGACAAAATCCACAGGCCACATCCTGACTGCTAACTGAGTTATGATTTAACCTTCACCTTGTACAACCTGTCTCAGACAGCACAATTAAGTCTTTATTCTCCTCAGTGCACAGCTTGCCAGAACATAAAACCTTCTGTCAGAAACCCCTCGGTTTCTTATTCAGGGACCTTCCTATTTTCTCTCTGTTGCTTGCTGTCTTTTACAGTTTAGAGTTAGTTTCCCTTCACAAGGTTGTGCAACTCCCTCAAAGTGAAGCAGACACGACTCATACCTCCACCTCACTCCACCTCTCAGCTCTAGACACAAGTGGGGTTTGGCAGAGATTTGGCGTTTGCCATGTTAGCGCCCTTTTCCATGCCTAACACCAGACAGAACTAGGGCAAGATGAGGCCAGGCATCTGGTGAGTAGAGTTGATGGAGGAATCACTCTCAGGGTTGTGCAGGCCCTGAGAGCCATGCCTCCTCCCACTGGGCATGCCTGTAGCCTCCCTGACTCACTCCAGATATGGCCCTGCTGTCATGCATAGCCCCTCAACCCTCTCCACCCAAATATTAGATACCTTGAGATTCTTCCTGGATCACACGCAGCACAATGGTTTTCTTGGACTCCAGCTTCCCCAGGTAGATGTGGCAGGTGTAGACTCCTTGGTCAGACTCCTTCACTGTCTGAAGCATGATTGAGCCATCATTGTGGGAGAGGTCGCCAATCAGGTTTACACGGTTTTGGAAGTGGCCCTGGTTCTGGAAGTGCCCACTAGGTGTGTTGAAGTCATGGCTCCAGACAACCTCCTCCTACAAGGAAAGTTCAAAAGCACGAGGCTTGGAGGTCTGCAGGTGTGTACTGGGGAGACCTCAGAGCTGACAAGGCCCTGCCATGTAAGGGCAGGGAGGGTATTAGATAACACAAAGTCATGCTCGCATGCACGTGAACAAACACATGTGTACTTGTGAGGACAACACCAAACCACAAACAACTGTCCCATCAGAAGAAGTGGTTTAAAAGATGTTGGTGGCTCTGGCCTGTAGCCCTAGCTACTCAGGAGGCCGAGCCAGAGGATAGAAAGTGCAAGTGAGTAATTTAGCCAGACTCTGTCTCCAAATCAGGGATAAAAAGAGGGGAAAGGTTCTGAGTTTAATTCCCAGCAGCAGAGCTAAAGTCAAGAGAGAGTTAGAGACAGACAGACACACACACACACACACACACAGAGAGAGAGAGAGAGAGAGAGAGAGAGAGAGAGAGATGGAGCAGGCATAGACAGAGAGACACAGAGAAGAAAATGAGAATATAAAGTAAAATTACGTAACTCTGCTCTTTTCCAGAAAAAGAAAGGAAGGAAGGAGGGAAGGAGGGAGGGAGGGAGGGAGGGAGGGAGGGAGGGAGGGAGGGAGGGAGGGGTATACTATTGTCTCTAGCACTTCAGTTGGATTTCCAACAGGCAGATAAAGTGTCTAAAATTGACTGTTGTCCCCAAACCTGCTTCTTTCTGCCCATCCCGTTTCAGTAAATGGCAATGTCCTCTTCCAGATGTTCAGGCTAAAGATCTTAGAGTCGTCTTTAATTCCTCTTTCTTAAGCAACTTGTATCAAACGCATCATGACCCACCCCTCTCAGCTCCCCTGCTGCCCGAGCTATACCTCATCTCTACCAGGAGCACCTATTCCACAGGGCTTCCTCATCTGTCTCCCCGCTCACCCTTCCCCACAGGACGATCTTTTAAACCCAAGGCCAGCATGTCCTCCCTCTGCTCTGCACCTCCCCCTGGACCCTCATTTCTCCTCTAGGCCCTTTGTGATCTATCTGCTCCGTCTCCTTTCCCTCTCTCACACCTATTTCCAATTCCTTCACTAGATTTAGTTACACAGACACCCAGCTACTTCCTGAATGCTGATCTCCAGGCTGCCTTCTATTCCTGTAACTGGAGCCATCTGGTTCTCTCCCCTCATTTTCTTCAGGCCACTACCTAAATGCCACCTTGATGAGGCTTCCCTGACATCTACACAGAGCTTTGCTTAAGGTTCTTCATGGCTCTTTATCTTTTTGTTGTTTTAGATATTCAGTTTGTCATTGTCTCGCTGTGAATTCCCCTCCCTTACTGTCCCATCAAGACAGGGTCTTTGTTTGGGTTTTTGTTTGTTTGTTTGTTTGTTTTTCAAACAGGGTTTCCCTGTGAATCCCTGGCTATCCCAGAACTCACTCTGTAGACCAGGCTGGCCTCAAACTCAGAGATTCCACTGCCTCTGCCTCCCAAGTGCTGGGATTAAAGGTGTGCACCACCACCACAAGGGCAGGCTAGGTCTTTGAATGGATGTTGAAATGTTTTACAAAGGTATGTGGTGATGGTGGTCATGGTAGAGGTAGAGGTAAGATAGAAACCATGGCCTTATGCACACAAGGCAAGTGTTCTTTCTACATCTCTATCCCTAGACTTTTTTTTTTTTTTTTTTTTTTTTTTGTTCCAAAAAGAAAGAAAAGCCTTTGAGTGAAGGTAATGAGTTATAGACAGAAACACAAAGGAGAGACTTAGCCCAGCTGTCCCTTCTATGGTGAACCATTTGATGGCTGGCATGCATGACAGTGGGGATGGAGAGATGGATTCAGCGTTGAAGGCTGGGCTCTTCCAGGGCTTTCCCCGAGATCTTGATGTGTGGCAAAGGAACATAGCTCCTTCTCTAAAACCAGGAACATGCTTGGCAGAGCCTAGAATAGCCTAGGGCCAGGATGTTGGGGGAGCTATGGCTCCAGATCCTGAGAACCCAACTCTTCCCTCTCTAAGGGCTGATGTGTGCTCAGTCTACAATGTCCTTGAGACACCCTGTGTCCCCTTGTGCAATACTGCCTGATTAGCTTCCTGCTGACGTAGTCCCATTATACAATGGTTTTTGATGACTCTGTCCCATTTCTCCACTAAAAATACTGTATAAGGTGCTATACCTCTTAATACACTTGCTTGTCTGAGCCATGAGCTTCTGCAAGACATCCAAATGCCAAACTTTCCTACCCTTTACGTTCATCTCAAGGCCACCTCTCCCTTAGAAGTTTGCCAATAAAGAACTATTTGCTGGTCCAGTCAACTCAGTCATTAACAGTACTTGTTCTTACAGAGTACCCAGGTTCAGTTCCTGGCACCCACGCAACGGCTGGCTCACAACCATTGGTACTCCAGTTCCAGAGAATCAGATACCATCTTCCCTGTTCCATGGACATCAGGCACCCACATGGTGCATATGGATATGTGAAAGAAAAACACTCATGCACAGAAAATAAAGCAAATAAATAAATAAAAACATAAATGCATGACAAGCTCTTAGGAGTGAACTTGGGGCTACATATCATCCCCCACCTTTTCTGATGTCCTCAGATAGCATCCAAGAATCAGGTTAAGAGTGAGTGACTTTGTTAGAAAGACTACCTAGAATACATTTTAATTTAAAAAACCAAACTCATTTATAAAACTCTGCACTCTAACTTCTATCAATAAGTCAACTAAGATGTCACCCATAATACATTTCTATTCCACTTATTTATTGAGGGGCAGTTGCATGGCGTGAATGTAAAAACTCAGAGGACAGCCTGTAGAACTCTGTTCTCTCTTTCTGTCATATAGGACCCAGGGGCTGAACTCAGATCATCAAGTTTGGTAGCAAGTGATGACCTTCCCACTAGCCCTCAGCATATATTTTGATCCCTAAATATATCACCATGTTATTGTTGAGATCTGTTAGTCCAATGAACTAACTTGCTACTTACTGCTTTACAGTTCCGATGAATTACCCTTCACTCTGGCTCCCAAGGGTCTACAAATCCCAAGCCCTGGAAAGTTTATAAAGAAGAAAAGAAAACTCTCTCCATCCCACAAAGTGAGTAACAGAGTACCAGGCCAAGTTTACAGAAACAGCACACAGTAGGGTAAGAATGTAATTATATTCTTATGCCTAGCCCACTGCTTTCCGGGTTAGGCACACACGCATGCACACACACTGCTCTGACAGGGACTGTACAATGAAGAGGAGGTGAAGGGACTCTCTAATGAAGTGGCCACATCCCACACAAAGTGCTTCCCGTGTCCCATTGCACATCAGTATCTTAGAAACCGGAACATTTAGGCAATCACCTCTTCTTCCCCCTCCTCCTTCCCCTCCCACACTTCCTCCTCCTCTCCTCACCTTCCTCATCTTTTTCCCTCCCTCCTCTTTTCATCCTCCCCCTCCCTTCTCTTCCATCTTCCCCTTCCTCACTCTTTCTTATCAATAGAATCATATTTCCCACCCAGAAGCCAAACTTGTCCAGGCAAGTGGCTAAAGCAGAAGGCCAGGTCTAACAGACTCCCAAGCCTGGGACTCTGCAATGTCACCCCTCACAAGCCCAACACATGGTACCTGATTCTCCCCTCCCTGCCCTCCTCTGCCTCCAGCCCTGGCTGTCTCTTCAGCAAGGCTTCCTCCCTCTTACCTTGGCATGCTTTCTGGAAGAAAACATCCAGTCCACCTTGGTCACATGTTTCTCTTCTGTGCTCTGGAAGAAACATCCCATCTCAGCCGAACCGCCTTCAAGGACTGTGAGCTCTGGGAATGAAGTGATAAATTGAGTCGGACTTATAGCAAAATCAAACAGAGTTTCTAGACAATAAAGGGTGGGGGGGCTGGGGAGATGACTCTGTGGGTAAGAATGCTTACTCAGCAAGCCAAAGAACCTGAGTTCAAATCCCTAACATCTACTACGTAAAAAACCAGGCGCATCACCTTGGAATCCCAGCATTCGGGAGCAGAGACAGGTGAGCCTGATTGCTCTCTGGCAAGCCATCCTAGCCAAAATGGAGCTTCAAGTTTAGTGAGAAACCCTGTCTCAAGACAAAACCGTAGAGAGATGAGGGAGGGCAAATACAACTGCACCCTCGTGTATATGAAGAACACACACACATACACACACACACACACACACACACACACACACACACACACACACACACCACAAAAAAATAAATAATAAAGTCTAGCTAAAAATCCTCAACAGCAAAGTGTCACTGTCACACCAAACATGTGGACAAAACATTCAAGAGCCTTTTCTCTCAAAGTGGCATGGCACCCTGGCATAAAAGAATATGCTCACCCCCCACCCACACCAAGTCTGAAGTCCCTGTTGTTTTTACACTGAAGTAAACTCTTTCTGCTTGCCTTTAGCTCCTTTATATTTCCCCCTTTCCAGAATTTCTCTCATGTTTGAAGTCCAGATGAAGGACAGAAAGTCTCAAGGCTCTCGCTTTCTATTCATGGATACAGGGACCCACGTGGGCACAGCATCAACAGTGGAAAGTCAGAAAACTCAATGTCATATTTAACTTGCTGGTTCTTCTAACTGACAAGGGGGGGTGATGAACCATGGGTAACTTTCTTCAAATTCTTTTACTCATTTTACAAGTTATTTTAAGATTTGCTTGGGATATACTTCTGGCTTCAACACAGGTCATGGGACTCCTTGCAAAGTTGGCCAAGGAAGTAGCTTTCCCCTTGACTGTTTCTCTTCTCTGTTTCAATCCTGCCCTCTCCAGAACCCTACCTCCCCATCTGATACAACCCCCCCCCACACACACACACACATCCAGTTCTCTGGGCCTTCCAAGTCAGAGGAGCTTCCTTCTGCTGGCTTGGGCAGGCAAATGACCCTCTCAAATTCTCTCTGAGTAAGTCATTCGAAGAGGACCCTGCAAAGAAAGCAATTAGAAAAATACTGCTAACTTTTCCACACTGTCCTCCACAAAACATCCACGAAGTCAATTAAGAAAGCAAAGGTGGGGTAGTTCAGAGAGGCACAAACCTAAGTCTCAAGTAGACACAGGGGGGAGGAGCTTAAACCTTAAGTAGACAGAGTTCTTTCAAAAGAATGCTAAGCAAAGGTCCCAAGCAAACAAAAACAGTGCATAAGCAGAACTTTCATCCAAGTTGCCTCCTTGGGAGAACATGAACTTCCTGTCCAGTAAGAGAGCTACACAGTGGGAAGAAAGCAAATAATAATAATAATAATAATACAAACTTAAACTCATTGGAGAGAATGCTTCTGCAGGCAGTGAAAATGCACTGCAAAGGACATTAGCAGGGAAGGAAAGGCCCCATTGCATTAGCCCGTTAAGGACTGAACACTAGCGTTTAAGTCAATAACAACTGAACATTCTGAGCCCATTTAATGCACTGGCATGTGCCAGACATCTTATAGGCAGCATAGTGATTAGTCATGTAACACGCATGTTCGGTCCCTGCTATTTAAGCCCATCTAGTGCCTCGTCTATGTTAAAGACACCCTCGACTACAGAACTATATTTTCAGGTGAAGTTATTATAATGTTTTTAGGTTCTTACTGTATTGCTCTCCATGTTACACAAATAGAAAGAATAATGAAAGGAGCTCAAAGTCACATGGACAGTAAAGAGAAAACTCACACCTAAGTCCACGTGAGAACAAACCCCAGGCTTCCGGGGGTACTGTGCCTATCACATCATATCAGATGAAAGGGTCCCAGATCTAGAGCAAAAGGATAGGAAACTAGTGTTATTTTCATCTAAAATATTTAAGAACTGTAGAAAGTGGCAGCCAAGTGATGGGATCGTAGGAGGGTTACAGATGGAAGGAAAAGCCACAAATGATATAAACACGGAGTTTCCACATGAACAGAGAGACAACCTCTATAAACAAGTGGACCACAGTCGTCCCAGCAAGGAGGTAAAACGTGGGGGCTTAGATCTGCTCCTGATTTGGCTGGAGGGGGAAATAAATATGGGTTGCCTCTGACCACCCCTAATGTGATTCTGGCTGGTTTCCCTGGCTTCAGCTCTTGCCATTGGCCCCTGTCGGTTTCTTCTTTGTAACCACAAAACTGGAAAGGGCAGCCATTTTGTGGGCCATACTTTGAGAAGGGTTTAGGAATGCCCGCAGAGAATGAGGGTAGAACAGCGACTCACAAGGAGAATCTTGGGGGAGAGCAAACATTGGACTTCCTCCCTTTTCCTGGAGGAACACAGCTTTGGAATTCAGAAAAAAAAAAAAAAAAAGATGTAGGGAAAATGAGGACAGGTGCCAGAGGCCACTCCCTAATGACTCACACTCACAAATTGGATTCACCGGAAGGATACCAGTTCGAGACCGTCATCCATTACACTAATGTGTATTGATTCCTTATAGGCTGCCAAGTACTACACCAAAGGCTCGTCAGAGGCAAAGAACCAGACAAGCAGGGAAGACACACTGCATGGGTGTAGCCAGCATCGTGTGGGAGAAAGGCTAACTTCTAGGGGAGTGTGTTCCGTAGCTAAGGACTGAAGCTAGCAGGGAGGACAGAGGGCCTGCACCATGGCCTTCTACTAGCTGGTAAGCAGCCCTGGCCATCCACTAGTCCTTTATGCCATGCCCATCAAAGGTTCATTTTGTAACTTTTTAATTAAGAGTGTGAAGAGTGAGAGTGGTACCTGCATGTGAGTGCAGGTGCCCAAAGAAGCCAGAGGAGTTTGATCCCCTAGAGCTAGACTTTCAGGCCATTGTACGCTGGGAACCAGATCAGATTCCGGTCCTCTGCAAAAGCAGCATGTGCTCTCAGTCCTCTGCAAAAGCAGCATGTGCTCTCAGCAGCTGAACCATCTCTCCAGCCCCTACCCCACACTCTTGTTTTTTTTTTTAATTGAAAAAAATATTTTTTCATGCAATATATTTTGATTATGTTTTCCCTCTCCGCCAATTCCCTCAGATCTCCCCCACCTCCCTACACACACAACTTTATGTTCTTTTTTCCTCTCCTTCTCTTAAAACAGACAATGACAAATAAACACCACATACAAAAAAGCCAACCCCAGCCAGGTAGGGGTGGTGCACACCTGTAATCCCAGCACTCAGGAGGCAGAGGCAGGTGGATCTCGGTGAGTTCTGAGCTAGTCTGGTTCACAAAGCAAATTCCAGGACAGCCAGGGCTATTATACAGAGAAACCCTGTCTTGACACCAAACAAATAAACAAACAAAAGCCCCACAAAAATGAAAATCACAACAAACAAGCATAAGATTGATAAGACAAACAATGTTCAAAGAAAAATGAGACAAAATGTCTCCAAAAGTACCAGTTTGTTTTATGTTGATCAACTAGGCATATGGCCTGCCCTGAGTATGACTCCATTGGAGAAAACTGATTCTTCCTTGGTACAAATTGAAATAGCTTTTGGCTGGGGTGGAAGCCTGTGTCCACCTTCACCTCTAAGCTCTGGAGCCCTGTCTAGCTTGAATTTGTGCAGCCACGTGTGTGCTGCCAATCTCTGTGAATTCATATGTGCATCCATTCTGTTGTGTCTGGAAGATGCTGTTTCCTTGGTGACATCCATCCTTTCTGCCTCCTCTTCCACAGGGTTCCCTGAGCCTTGAGAAAAGGGCTTTGATGATGACATCGCATTTAGGACTGCATGCTCCAAAGTCTGTAAATCTGTATGCCGTGCAGTTGTGGATTTTTGTGTTTGTTCCAACACTATCTATCCCACACTCTTAAAGAATGCTTGCATATTATTTTTTTCTTGTTGTTTTGAGACAGGCTAGTCTCAGACTTTCTATGCAGCTGAGAACAAACTTCAGCCTTTCAAGTGCTGGGATTACAGGCATGTACCATCACATTTGGCTAGTGGCTTTCTAACAGTTTTTAGTTACATATTTTATTCGGCAGTGTTTATATGGATATGGTGAACACATTTTAGATGCCCTGGATGTGATTAGTTTGGATATCATTAATTTATTAGAAAAGAGAAATGTGAAGCACTCTGCACTCGGGAGGCAGAGGCAGGCAGATCTCGAGTTTGAGGCTAGCCTGGTCGACAGAGAGAGTTTCAGGACAATCTCCAAAGCAATACAGAGAAACCCTGTCTCAAAAAGCAAAACAAAGAAATGAAGAAAGAAAGAAAGGAAGGGAGGGAGGGAGGGAGGAAGAGAGGGAGGGAGGCAGGGAGGCAGGAAGGCAGGCAGGCAGGAAGGAAGGAAAGGGAAGGGAAAAAAAAAAGAGTGTGTGTAAATTGTCCACACAACGAAAGATTTCCGAGCACCCTTGGAGTAGGCAGCTTCATGTGTCTCTGTTTTCAGTTCAGTCTCACTGTAGTCTACAAATGTCCCCATCTCTAAGTAGGGAACGGTCTTTGCCACTAAAATGACTTTGGGAAAATTTCCTCCCAGCAGCTGGTTGATCCTGTTAAGATTTCTCTGGAGGGCAATGCCTCTTTGAGTTACAGTCTTGGCTCCTATCCTTTCAGCTTGGCCAGGAGAATAAAGAACTTTCTAATATCTGTCCTACCACAACCTCATACCTCAGTTCAAACTGTCACTTGCAGACTGTTTTGAAAGCAGCAGAATCCTACTCTAAACAAAGCCTGGCCTAACATTGCAATGAACAGATCAACAACAAGGAAGACAACTTTTGTTGTTGTGGGTAGAAGTGGGGGTCCTCTGTGACGGGGGGTCTTCTGTCAAGCCCTGCCCTGTCCTCACCTTCTGCCTGAAAGTCTCTGGAAGTTCATGTTTCCACAAAGGGGCAATCTTAAAACCACTAAGCAGAGCTGGGGTTATAGCGCAGTGTTTGCCTCCTCTCGTGACTCAGACACCAAGGTTCAATCCACAATACTATACAACTAAAGCAACCAACCTACTGACATCATTCCCTCCACTAACAGACAGGAATATGAGATGCAATGAAGTAAGAGAAAGCTGCTCACTTCCTTCAGCCCCAGAACTCCTGACATTGGTGCCTACAAAACCGTGGACGAGGTATCAATGTGTCTAACTGCTAAGAAATGGCAGACATGGCAAAGAGAACACGGGTCTCAAGTATCAATTCTGTGGTTTATAAACAGGTGTCCTTAGACACATGGCTCAGCCCCATCAAGCCTTGGTGACCTCCTCCAGGATGGAAAGGACAATACAAGCTTCCCATGAAGAGGCATGTGCTCAGACTAATAATTATTGCTTATTGAAGGGAAGTGCTTGGCCTAAAGGCTGGGACTTCATCAGTTCCCCACCCTCTTCCACAAGCAATGTGTTGCCCTCTGGACCCTCTTTGAGTAAGTGACCCCCATACCTTTAGGCTTCTCTGGCAGCACACGCAGTACCACAAACTTCTTAAACACCATACTCTTGTTTTTGAGGCGGATTTCACAGGTGTAGGTTCCCTGGTCTGCTTCTTGCACATTTTGGAGCAGGAGAGAACCGTCATTTTGTAAGATGTCCCCTACCAAATGTGAACGGTTCTGGAAGCGCCCCGTAGGCACGCTAAGGTTGGAGTAATAGTATAGCACATATTCATTCTGAGAGTAATAAACATAGGAAAAAGTCAACAGAGAAACCAGACCTGGGAGTCTAGATTGAAAGGACCATTATGTAGAGACAGTGAAGTTATCACCATAATAGTGACCAAAAAGTACTCAGCTATTAATGTTACTACTATTAATAATGATAATGTAGCAGGCAATTGTCTAGCTTGTACAAGGCCCCATGACTAATTTTCTATATAGACAAATGAAACACAGAATCCATATTTTCATTTGTTACAGCATAAGGGAAAACATAACTGCTTCTGTGGTAATCATTCTAGGATTAGAACTCATAACTTTTTAAAACCATTTCCAGTCCTATGACCTGACAGGTGAGATGCCATTCAAATGTATGGCCTAATCCCTTGGCATTATGGGCTGGTATTCCCAGCAGTAAGGCTGCCACTCCTCTTAACTCTGCCCTCCCCCAGCCAGCAATATCATGACGCAAAAGGAGTTGTCAGTAGGGATGGTTACAGGCTGGGAAGAAAAGCCCTGAGGAGTTCTTAATGCTACCTCCACCACAGCTCTGCTTCCTTTATAACAGCAAACAGAAGTGTAATTCTGAGTGAAAGCAGCATTGCGGGGGTAGCAGAGAAGATTCTCTGAGCTACAAAAGCAGCCATTGGTTTGCAAACACTGGTATTTCATTGCTAACAGCAAACTACTTGGGCCATGTCTCACAGACAATCCTGACACCCACACATCTCTGTGGACTTTGTGACAGAAGTTGAAGACAGTTTCCTAGTTAGAGCTCATGAGAGCAAGCCCCCTGTCTGGCTGCTAATCCCAGTACTTCAATCAAAGGCAAAGAAACAATGCCTGGTCCCTCAGAGTAGAAGAATGCTCAAAGAATCTGTCCCCAGCACAGAAAGGTGCCTATACCATCACTCTTATGCCCTGTGTAGACTACAGGAATTGCCTCTCATGCCCATCTTTACTACCCATCTTTACCTTTACTACTACAATGGAAGCAAACTCCGTGTATGTCTTCCCTTGGCCCTGAACCACTTCAGCACTGGTACCATTATGGTCCTGTTTCCTCTTCGCAGTGCGGGTGGCTCTAGTCAAGCAAGGTTGGATAATCTGCCTTGCTGATGGTCACAGCCAAATAGCTAAACTAAGCTAAGCGGAGGCCCAGTGATGACTCCATCATAAGCTCTTGCAATACTACCTTGAAGATTCAATGACTGAATCTCCCACACCCAGCCCAATCCTGACACCATTAGTCAGAGACTTGACCACACAGTCAGGCCATACCTCAGCATGCTCCCCTTTTGAGAGTATCCAGTCTACTTTGACCACATCTTTCTCTTCTGGGCTCTGGACAACACATCCCATGAGAGCTGAGTCACCCACATGCACTCTCAGCTCAGGGGGGGAGACAGCCCTGCTGGTTAGGCCCTGAGAGTCACCTACGGGGGGTTAAAGAAAGAAGATATTATTTAGACAAGTAACCTCAACAAGAAAGCTCAGTATCTATCAGTAGATGCCATCCATTTCCCCTCCCTCCACGATCCAGCATGGTCTAAGCACTTAGAGGCCTCCCACTTAAACCAGCATGGCTTATCTACATGATTCAAGTCTGAAGAATTCTGTAACTTTCAAACCACAGGAAGAGCTCGCTGCTTCCCTTGGCCCCGCTAGTCCCTTCACCTTTTCTAGAATTCCTCTGCCCTGCCTTTCCAATGAAAGGCAATCCTGAGATCCACATCCACTTACTCACTTCTCTTACCTCTGCATACAGTGTACCTAACGCTAAATTAAACAGGAAGTGAACTCATCCTCACTCACTCACTCGCTCTGTCCCTGTCTGAATGATCCACTCACTAGCTGTTTTGTTTTCTTCCCTTTATTTAATCCCTTCACGAAAAGCTTATCTCTGCATTTGCTAGCTTAGTCTTTCTACAGTTAAGTAGGCCAGAATGGAGCACAACTTTCTCTTTGAGTTTCCTTTCTGTTTGGCCTCTCCTAGCCTCATCCCTCCAGCATTACCCATCAGCTCTGCCCTTTCAGAGGCATTTACAGCATGGATCCCCTAATTCCCTCATCTGCTTGTCACTCACAGAATTTCACCAAAAGGGAAAACCATGCAAGGACATTTGTTTTCATAAGATATCCTCTGGCACAAAGACAACAAAATCGAGAGACAAATTTAGATGATGCCCAGTTCGCATTGAAGAAGAGCCAAATGAACACATATGGGAATGAACAGGAAAGGTGCCAGCCTTTTCAGCCAAGCTGTCTCCCCTGAGAGAAGAGAGAATTTCCTGCCCAACAGCAGGCTCGCACAGTAGGAGGATGGAAAAGAACATACAAACGCTCAACCCTTTGGATGGAGATGTTAGCTCCAATGACTACTGGAATTTTCCTGTGAGGAAGAATTAGTGTGTGTGTGTGTGTGTGTGTGTGTGTGTGTGTGTGTGTGTGTGTAGTCTATGTCACCTGGAATTGAGCAAAGGAAGTTCTTCTGTTTATTTTTGCTCAATCAAGGGTCACTATCTGCAGCTCAAAACAGTGAAGAGGGCCAGCGAGATGCCACCAAGTCGGATGACCTCAGTTCAATCCCCCAGACCAACATAGTGCAAGAACCAATTCCTACAAGTTGTCCTCTGACCTCCATACTCATACTCCCACTTAAATAAATAATGAATAATAACAAAAAATTGGGCATGAAAATGCATGTCTGTGATCCCAACACTCAAGATGCAGAGAAAAGAAGATACTGCATTCAAGACTACCCTGAGCTACACAGGATCAAGTCCCAAAGAAACCCTAAACAAAAGGCTACCTGTGGTGCCTATTTAACGCACTGACCACCAGGCTCTCTCAGCAGTGATAGGGTTACAGAGTCCTGGCTCCCTCACTTCTCACCCACACTCCCCACCCTAACCTTCTCAGCCCCTGAGCTTCCCTTCCCGCCCCTTGGCTTCTGATTCCCAGGCACTTCTTGTCCCTTTGCTCACTTGGCTTCTTGGTTCTTCTCTCTTTTGGTCCCTTTCACAGTCCTCTGCTCTTGGCTCCCAACCCCCTCTCTTGCCTCTTTGTTCTCTTCCTCTCCCACTCTCCCTCCCCTTCTCTCCTCTCATGGTCTGGTCTATTCTGCCAGCCATGTTCAGTCTGGCCTCTTCCAGATGCTTCTGGCTGTTTCCTCCCTCGCATCTACAATAAAAACCTTCTCTTCATCCATACCTAGGAGTGGTCATGTCCTCATTTTCATTCACATGGAAAGACCCTGGCTACAGATTAAATTATTAAATAAGATGGCAAAGCACCACATTAATTTCTTCTTCCCACAGATCTATCTCCATGGAATAAGGAACAAGATACAGGCAGAGAACAGAAAGAGAAAAGAAGGAAGTGAAGATGAGCAGCCTTGAGCTGCCCTAGGCATGGGGAAAAATCTGAACAGGAGATTCCCACCCAGCCTACTGAGACCAAAGCAGACTTCCCAGAAGGAAGTAAAACTTAGGGGAAGCTTGTGGAATCCGGAAGGCTTGGGCAAGTTTGTTGGGGTAAGGTGCTAAGAAAGGGGGTAAAAGTGGAAGGAACAGAGAGTCCCAGGCAAAGAAAACAACAATTGGGAAAGAGTTCCCTGTGCTTAGAAACCACAAAAGCATCTGCCTGACCGAGGCATAGAGACAAATAAAAGGGCCCCTCCATTTCTCCTTGGTAATTGTCCTTCCATATCTGAGACTGACTATCTGTAACTGAAAGACACCAGTGTAAACTGTAGGAATGCTACAGAGAAACTTCCTTTCACACAAGTATGTTCTAGAACACCCAGGAACTACCCAAAGACATTCTGTATCCAATAGACACAGAAGAAGGCAAGAACAATCAACCACTTGCTTCTGAAACACCAGAACCAAGAAGTTCCAGCACAGGGTTTCCATATCCCACAAATCACAGAGAAATAAACAAAAATAAAAACTGGCTTTTGAAAATGTATGAGACTAGGGCTCAGTGGGTAAAGGCATTTGCCACCAAACCTGAAGACCTGAGTTCAATTCCAGGAAACCACATGGATAAAAGGGAGGGCATCTTCTGCAACTTGTCTGTGACATCCTCATGCCCTTTCCCACAACACAAAATAGATAGATAGATAGATAGATAGATAGATAGATAGATAGATAGATAGATAGATAGATATAGAGAGATAGAGAGATAGAGAGATAGAGAGATAGATATCCAAAAAAAGTTTCAGGTATTAGACAAACAAGCATTCAGATATTGCCCAGAGTCTCTTGCTTCTACTTACCCAGAATCATTGGAATCACAATCAGTTTCAGGAGGCGAAGCATGCTGCTTTCAAGTTTCTGATCTTAAGATAAAAGGAAAACGAGAAAATTATATACAGAGAACATTGTTAACTGGACAAACCAACAGTGAACGCCAGTGTGGGCCAGCGCCAGATGTGTCTGAGGCACAGGCACAGCACTGAGGATCGTTCGGGGAGGGAAAAGCAAGAGCTTGCATGAACAAGACAACATCAAATGATGAAGAGGATATGGAACACAAAACCAAGTGATGTTTGGAGAGACACTTGGGGTCTGCTTCAGGTTGGCCAAAGGAAAGTTCGATGCAAGTCGCTTTTCCAAATAAAAAGGGCAAATGAGCCCCTGCGGAGCCCTTGCAACAACCACCCTAGATATTCCACAGCCTGCACACTTTACATAGCCCAAACACTATAGATCCATTGCCCCAACCTTTCACCTATCCTTCCCGATGAATGGGAATTGTTGCCTGAACAAATGCAAAGAATGGAAACAGACTGATGGATGGTTTGTATTTGGGCATTACACATGTCTAGCAATCGCCCCTCTAACACAGTCATAGCCTGGTTCACAAAGGGAAAATGTTAAGCCTTAAAGGTATTACTTACCAAATTTAAAATACAAAGACACCACAGGAATGACTTTTTTTTTTTTTTAAAGCAGGCCAGTGTGGGTAGAATTAAGAGTTGAACTGAATGTGTAAAACCATTTCTAATGTCTTTGTTACATCTATCTATTAATCTCATGACATCCCCCAGATCTTGGAAAATGACTCACTGTTCTAGACAAAGTCCCCGCAAATATTCTTAGCCAAACTGAAGAGCCCTAACACTAAGAAGTTACAACTCAGTCCATCTTAGCAATCAGACCTATTACTATAACCAGCTCAGCTGTGACCCCCTCAGTGCCTAATGGTTCTGCCATGAGAAATATTCTACTTCAGAACTGCTAAGAAAGGTCCTTAATGCACTAATAACAGGAGGTTCCAGCTAGCTGCGCTGGGGTATCTGGCACTGGCCATTTCCTTTCTAAAATGCAGTTGCTTGGAGCTGGAGAGATGGCTCAACACTTTAAGAGCACTCACTGTTCTTACAGAGGATGAGTTGCTACTCAGTCCCACATCTAGTGGCTCAGAGCTGCCTGTAACTCTAGCTCCAGGATATCTGCTGCCTCTGACCTCCAAGGGTACCTGCACCCATGTGCATATACACACACACAAATGTACACACATACACATAACTGTAGAAATAAAATTTTAAAAAAGTCTTTTTTTTTTTTTTTTAAAGTGGTTACCAAAAAGATGCCTTACCTGTATCCAATCAACAAAGTCCACTTGGAAAGTGGAAACTGCTCAAGATTGCTTCCCTAGGTCTCCCTTGACTCACTATGCCTTAGCTTCCTCACCTACAGCACAGGATGACAATGCAAGAATCAGATATGATCATATAGATAACTGTGCTTCGAAAAAAGAGGAAACATCGCTAGACAGGATCCCATTTTCTAGAACCCAGGAGCCAGACAGAGAGCAGCCTGTGACTTCTGCCTTTGTAGGAATGGTAAACTATCAGCCAAAATGAACTGGAAGCTTTGACCACCACTGCCAGTGTGTGGACAATAAGTACCCTGTGCCAACTGTGTCTGGGGTCCAATAGAAGTCCCTCCCCTGACACATACAGAGTTGGTGGCCATAATGGGCTTCCCTTGTAGCACGTCTCATCTTTAGCTCATCACAATCAGACATCCAAGATCCCTGTCACGTTCTGGGGAGCTCCTGAGTTCCTTTTCTGCTCAGCAAACAGCACCTAGCTCTCACAGGATTTTTGCAAGAATGCACCAGTCACTCAGAGGCATAATGGCTAATTTGCATGTCTGTCACCAGAGCCTATTGAAGTCTGTACACTCTCAAGGACAGGACCATGTATGTCTTGTTTGTATTTATGCTCCAACACTGTTCTACATAAATTGCTGGGAGCATGCCAGATAAATGTTTGTCACCAACAATGTGACCATTACCTTGAAATCAGCTTCAAGGCATCCTGCAACCCCTTGACACTACTCTATAAGGAAACCAGCAACTTGAAAAGTTGACTTACTCACACAGAGCCACACCTAGCCTCCTTCAAACCAATTCTAGGAAATAAATAGTGTGATAGATTAAAAAAAAATCCACTTTCAGTCTTAAATACTGAAATGCACTGATAGAATTCTGTGGGTATTGGAGAGGAAAGTAATGCTTTTTAGCAAAACGAGCATTCAATTTTAATTTCTTTTTAAAGTTATTTTTCAGGCTCAACCCCCTAGAAGTCAATTTAAACATTATAGGCTCAGACATTTTTGTTTTTCTAGTTGATAGGCAACTACACTAAAAATTAAGACTTAATATGCAATAAAAAGAGAAAGATATAATGCTAGGGATTGTCTGAGTGATTTACATAATAACTCAGTCTTTACCACAACCATGAGGCTTTTTACAGATGGGAAAACTAAGGTACAGGCCAGGGTTATGTTTTGCTTAAGAACACATAGCAGATTGGAACAGTCGGATTTCAACCCTAGGCATTCTGGATCTTCCAGCCCCAGCCTGTATCACCACATTGCAGGGTTCCTCCACATCTGCCAAAGTAGCTGATGTTTTTGTGTGTTCTCTCACTGTGCCTTATTTGGAGAAACAAGATTAACACCCATCGGGTGTTCTTCCAAACCTCATTGTGAATATTTGCTCTTCCTCTTACTGGCTAAGACTCTAAGCTCCAAGAGGCTGAGAGGAAGCCTATGAACCACTACAGCTCCAGGTTTGGCATAGTGTAGAGGGCAGGAATCTTCTCAGTTTAAAGTTTCTCAAACAAGCTCACGACACCTTAGGAACTTATCAAGAATCCTCTAGTCAAGTTTCAATTTCCTGGGTAGGTGGCAAACATTCAGATGTTATATATATATATATATATATATATATATATATATATATATATATATACACATCATCATCACACATTAGTGAGGTGGATTATATCATCAGGAAATTCCATTGTGTGAACATCCAAGAGGGCACTTATACAAACTAAGATGACTACAATGTCACTAGGCTATATGATCTTATAGGACCACTGTCTATGCATTGTCAACTAAAATGTTACTTAGAACATGATGCATACATATATACATACACACACGTATATACATGTTTATATATGTATATATATATTTAAAACATATACAATTATCAAAATTCTAAACACACACACACATAAATCTTGGTTTTTAAAACCCCAGCCAGCTAGCACATTCAGAAGCACCTTGTCAATAGGCCTTGTTTAAACTCTTGTCTCTACCCTGTTCCCTTTCCAGACACTGGTGTAGCTCAGCAGGAGGTTTCAGGTAATGCCACATAGTCAGGTATTTCACATGCTGGCCAAGCATTTCGCCCCAAGCTCGTGGCTTTTTCACAATAACTCCTGGCAAATATCTCCTAATAGTCCTAGGGTGTGTATAACCATCAGGGTTATAGTATTTACATATCTCAATAATACATATTATTCCAATATTGCAAGACAGTGGAGGAGCAGGGTGCTGTCTCCTAGCCAAGTTGCCCCTGGTCATAACAAAGACTACAGAAAGACAGAAAACTGTTCCACATTCTCACTCATGCCCCACCCCACTGTGATGCTGAGTTCCTTCAGCTCCCTACCTGTCCCTGTGTACCTTTGCACTCTCTGAAATTCGTACATATACAAATCTGCATGGCCATTCTGAGATACAAGCCTCTTCAAATAAGCCCTTGCTTTTCCTTCTGAAACCATGTAATACGGATGGAGGCTTTGTGGCTTTTGAAGCATAACTTAGATTACATGCTAATTCAGATGAAACCTTGGGAACCATCTCCTGCTCTCTCCAGACCAGCATGTAGCCAGTCCTAATCCAGCTTGAGTCTTTTTCTGGAGGTCTAGGCTAAGTCAGGGTAGTCCACCTCCCTTGGGAGACTTGAACTGCTGCCTTTGTGACACACTGATTTATCCAAAACAGGGAGAAGACAGTGAGGGAGGATTACTGCCATAACTCAAGAACAGCCAGTCTAAAGCCACAGGCAGCAGGAAAACTGAAGTCTACAGATGGGGTGGCCTCATTCACAATTATTACAGCAAGCTTACTTCTCTTTTCTCTAGAACTTTGACACAAAGTACACTACTAAGACTAAAGTTGCACCTGCTTGTCGACCTCACGACAGCCCCTGCTGCGGAAACTGGGGACTCCATGCATGGCCTCCTTGTCCTACAGCAATGGCAATCTAACCAGCTTTCCTTAGAATGAGAACTGGCCTTCTTCTCAGAACAGTTCAAACAATGGCTCACAGCACACAAAGTCACTGCTTACCCAAGACGACAGCACCCAGGAAAAGCAATGCACCACGATCTCCTGCCACAGCATCCCCCACATCAACGGAGAGACTTCTGCCAGCACAGTAGGTCAGGCTCAAAGCAAATCAGATGTGTGCATGCCTTCTGAGGTGGCTACAGAAACCTAAACAGGAACCTTCAACTCAAGGTTCTCCTTTCAGCCACCAGTCTCACTACCCAATTTGCATTTGTATTTTCATTATGTTTGAATCAAATGTTTGTCCATTTTATGATAGCCATATTCACCCCATTACCCTCTTATTTCTGCCTCTCCCCTGCTGATCCCCCTCCTCTTCCCAATTAGTCCTCTTCTTGCTTTTGTGTGTGTGCACACACGCATGCGTGTGTATATGTGAGTATGTGTACACATGTGGGTGTACATGTGAGTATATGTGTGTGCAGATGTACCTGTCTGAATGTGCATGCATGTGTGTGTGTGCACGAATGCTGGTCTTGGGCAGGTAGCCACAGCTTCTGTGTGTTCATAATTACAACGGCCATGTCATATCCAGAAACATAGCACTCCATTATCTTCTGACTTTTACATTTTTTCTGCCTCCTCTTCTGTGATGTTCCCTGAGCCTTGGAAGGGGTGGTACCAACATCCCACTCAGGACATTTATATTTTTTTTCCTAAAAGGAAGGGATGTATGCAACTTACTACAGTGACACCTGCAGGTGCCACTTCCCTTTCTGGATTACAAACTCTGCACCCAGAAGGCTCAGGTAAGGAGAAGGCAGCCTGGGATATACAGTGAGCCCCTATCTAAACGAAACAAAACAACAACAAAAATCTTGAGAGGCCTAAGGCATTTACTGAGAAATCGGCTTTTTGTAAACAAAGTACAATTAATTTAAGATGAATAAAAAGCATTTGGCTGTTTCAGATACAGCAGCTTCACTTTTTTTTTCATCTCTCTCTCTCTTATCATAGAGATGCAGCCAGGCTAATCAATCACCCGTTAGCTGCTTCCAAAGATTCCCCATGCCAGGTGCTCCAGCCCACCATGTTGCTCCATAAGTTTCCTCTGACTGTAAGGGTTCCCAGGACACAGAGAGCAAGTTGTTATCCTAGTAAACACTTTGAGTAGCTTTGCCATCCTGGGGAACAACTTAGGGCTTCCTGATGGCAAGATACCTCTCCATTTTGAGTCACTTTCAAAATAAGTGTTCTCACACACACACACACACACACACACACACACACACACACACACACATATTTACCCTTAGCTCTACTGGATTGACCTGATCCAAGCCTGGGTATGCTTGTCTTTTGGAACATGTCCTGTCCTGAAAACTATTGAATGTTTTCTTGCCTCAAGGACCATGCTGCATGGGCTGTGTGTAAATTTTTCCACTACAGTCTATTTCACACCACCAACAGTTTGCCACTTGGCTCACAAAATTTCTAGAAATTCAATCATCAGCTCCTGCTGTATTATCAGGCCACTGGATCTCTCCAGAGTCTCACAGGCACACAGCTCAGACAGTTTTCTCAATGTTGAAAACCACAGCCCCCTCTCTTTCATATGATACTTCTCTTTTTAATGTAGACAGACATGAAAAGGGTAGCAGCAAGGTGCAAAGAAGTTTATTAACTACAGTACAGTAAAGATTCCATGAGTCACAGTGTCTACAGCTTGTAGCCTCTGGCAAACAAAAAGTTTAATTTTAAAAGTCAATGAGATACAGCAGTGAAGAGTTCACCGCTGGAGTGTTTTGAGCTGTGCAATCAAATAAGAGTCTTGGTGGGCTCCATGGATCTTCTTAGAGTCTCTTCAGAACAGGAGCTCAGTAATACAATAGAACATTCTGGCTCAGGATTTGGCCTCCAGGTTTTCTGTTGCTGCAAGACACACACACACACACACACACACACACACACACACACACACACACACACACACACACGAGGGAGGGGAAACTTTCCCTACTGAAGCACCACTGCCTGACTCAGGGCAGTTAAGATGTCCCCAAGTAGCCTGAAGTAACAGGTCACAGAGGGAAAACAAAGCACTTAATAAATTCACATTTTATAACAGTTTCAAGAGACCAATGCATAAAACTCAGAAGGTGACATAACCACAATGAAAGACTTACATCTCTTCCCAGACAATGCTATAATGTCATGTGGTTTGAGATCACAGAGCAGCAAAAGGGGGAGGGGGAAGTATGAGAATGGCAACTTAGATGATATTAAAACAGTAAGTCAAACAAACAAAAACCTTTTATCTTACATTCATTTTTAAGGAAAGTGTGTTCCATAGACTGCCTTACTGCCCTTAGGACCAAAAAGCTATAGCATAAACCTTGGCATAAGAGTAAAGAAGAAACTGGGGGGCCTAAGCCTGGGATGCAGCCACAAAGCCATGGAGCAAGTAAAATTACTGACTCCCTTACAATGAAGAATTTCATTGGTCTGTCATTTAAAAGATAAAGAACCATTTCAAAACAGGGAACACAACAATGTGTGTGTGTTCATCAGGCATCAGTCACCTAACTCACCAATGTCTTAGCTAGACAAAGCTTCACAACACACTTTCAGGAAAATCCTAAGACACCAAAACTGGTCCCTCGTTTTCTTGGGATGATGGTTTAAATGGGTTCTTGTAACGTCTCTGCCACAGCAATGAAGCCCATATCATGCCCCCTCAAAACTGGATCACTCTCTTCAGGTCTCCAAGAGCTGAGTTATTTATGCTCGGTGCCAGAATGCTATCTTCTCTGTGTTGATCTGTTAGAAATGGTCTCACTGGACAACCTCAGACAACCCCATCTTTAACAAGTGGCCCAAAGAACCACGGAATCTAAGCACCAGAGATGCAGAATGCCAGTTCCTCCTCTGCCTCCTCCATGTGCTTCCATGACCAGTGGTAAATCACGGCACTTATCAGCTAATCAGATTCGTGGATCAGCAGGCTAGATTAACACACCTTCAAAGCAGCGTTAATGATCCCAGTTTCAAAAATAAGATCTTGGTGGTAAGTAGAATGACTTCTATAACATGTATAATATATAATACTAATACGGAGCCCTCCCAAGCCACTCTAGGAAGAACCATGAAGAAGACCAACAACTAAGGCTGGGGGAGGGGTCATTTGTGACTCTCACAATCAAGAAGTGAGCCCTGTCCCTTTATAGGGAGGGTTGTTTGCACACATGCTGTCAGGCCCTCCTGATAGGTCAGTTACATCTTAATGGAAAGCCTACTAGAAATTAAAATTTTAAAGAAGTTGCTACAGAAGAACGGAGGTGTGGTTTACAAGGCACTGAGAGAGGAGAAGGGAGATGCCTGCGCAATCTGACTTCCTCATCTCCAGTACCAAGAAAACAAGCTGGCAGACACAATAATGTGTCCATCACCATTGCAACTTGGAACTACAAGAAGTTCTAAACAACAACACAAGAAAAGTGGAAAGACTTAAAGCAAAGGACTGCTATTTCATAAGTCTCTCCTAAGAGCCTTCTTAACAGGCATTTCTTGCCTCTGACTTAAAAAACCAAGGAGGAAACCACAGATTAGTCAGCTATAGGAACAAAAAGTAACAGATTCTTTGGCCCCAAATGTACCTACCAAGACAAATGAGAAATACTACTGTACCTCAAAATTTGGTTCCTTAACTATAAATTAACAATGCTTTAATACTTAAGAGACCCAGTCAAAGCAAGCCTACAACTTGTGAGCCTATTGAGTCCAAAGAAATTGGGGTCAAACACTCCAGGTCACCCAGACACAGCTGATGACCATTAAACCATGGTGCATAGTGAATACTTGCAACAGCAAACACTGGCGAAGAAGCAAAGGCGACCCATCCCAAACAAGTGTATTGTTCATTGGCACATCATCAGGAAGCTACAAGCTCCACACCATTAAAAAGTACCATTTTGGCATTGCAGAGTGACAGACGTTCAGTATTCTCCTTCAGGCAACGGAAAGAAAAGAGGAACTGCATTCAAGAGTGAAGGTAAACCAAGGGGTGTGTTTCTGTCCAAGACAAGAATGTCTTTGTTCAATCAGAACGTGTTAAGGGAAGGCATGAGTCCCTTCTGGAAGTTTCTGAACGGTTTATGAACACAAAATGAACACTTCTTCAATAAATAAGTGGTCCTTAAAGTCTTCACTGGTGACCTTCAGATCCTTCTGTCCCCGCTGTCCCTGTTGTCCCCGCCAGTGGCACTCCTGGCCAGGGGAATGGGATATTTCCTGCTGTTAGACAACACTTCATCCACTGTGCACACTTCATCAGTACGCCTCTTCATAGTCTGAATCCTAGAGGGGTAAGAATGGCAGAGGTTTGTGCTCTACAACACCACAGCCAGTTACAGGTAAAGACCACGTGCAGGGGATCTCCAAATGGAAACTAGCTTGGAGTAACAATGGCGGTAATATCCCCGACAGCACCCCTAAGTTCCATGGAGCATCACAGGACCTCAATACAATGTGTCTAGCAGGCCGGTTACTGCTTTGAAGCCTCAATGGTTCTCTTTATGACTGTATTTTAGAACCTAAACACACAGAAAAGATGCTTGCTTACAGCAGAATGTACAGGACTGTCCTGGAACTCTCTCGGTAGACCTGGCTGGCCTCTAACTCACAGAGATCCGCCTGCCTCTGCCTGCCAAGCGCTGGGATTAAAGGCGTGAGCCACCATGACCAGCTTTTCTCTGATGTCCTTATGCCTTTATCTACAGCAACTATGTCCTCCTGTGGCACCTAGTGCAATTCTCTCTCTCTCAGCATCAATTTTTCTTTTTCCATTGGATCATTCACAACAGTAGAAATGTGTTCCATTTCACCCATCATAACATACAACACCCTATACCCACTGCCCTATCTCTTTGCATTCTACCTTAAAAAAGCTATTTGTAGCCAGGCATTGGTGGTGTAGGCCTTTAATCCCAGCACTCAGGAGGCAGAGGCCGGATCTCTGTGAGTTTGAGGCCAGCCTGGTCTACAGAGTGAGTGCCAGGACAGGCTCAAAAAAAAAAAAAAAAAAAAAAAAAGAAAAGAAAAGAAAAAAGCTATTTGCACTCACTTCCTCCAATGTTATCTTTGTGATAGTTCCTGCCCCTTCCCAAGTGCCTTTCTCCCTCACTATCTCAGTGGAGCTACTTTTGCCAAGGTCACAAGTAACCTCATCACTGGAACTTCTAGTTCCTGGAACATTTTCTTCCCCATCTCCCAAGATACCAAACTCTCTTGGTGGTCTTCCAACTTCAAAGGTCATTCCTTTTCATCGTTTTTTGCTAATTCCTCATTGGTTAGAAGCCTTGGAGAACTCCAGGCTCAGTCCTTTGACCTCTCCTACATATATGCACATCTATTTCCTTGATGGACATATCTCCATCAGTCTCTATCTCCTAATGGCTTGTAGATCATATCTCCAGACTAGACCTCTGTTCTGAAAATGTAACTGCCCACTGAACATTTCAAACTTAATTTGTTCAAACTCAACTCCTGATTTTACTCTTAAATCTTGCTCTGGGGCTAGAGAGATGACTTGGTAGTAAAGAGCATTCTCAGCCCTTCCAGAAGAACTGGGTTTGATTTCCAGAACTCACGTGGTGGCCCCACAACCATCTCTAACTTAATTTCCAGGGTATCTGACACCCTTTTCTGGCATCCATGTGTGTACATAGTGCACAGACACACATGCAAGCAAAATACTCAAACACAAAATAAACATCTTAAGTTGTAATTATGACGTTTTTAAATATTGCTCTAGAAAATATTGGTTCTATTCTACTAGTCACCCAAGACCCCTGGAATGATCTTTGCTTCTTATCTTTTTCTTTAAAAACAAATGCCAGAAAACTCTTCTGTCTTTACTTTCAAGCCAGAATACAGAATACAGCCACTTCTCACTATCTCTATCACAGATTTCTTTCATTTGGATTACAGCTAATGCCCACTAACTAAGCTCTCTGATCCTGCTTTGGTCCCTCACTGTCACTCTCAACACACAAGCTAGACTGATACTTTGAAAACACACATCAGTCCATAGTACTTCTCTTCAAAGCCCCTCTAATGGGATGACTCAGCCCTCTACAAGATCTAGATGCTGTACTAATTCTTTGACTCCAACAGACTTCATTCTTGCCCTCCTCTCTTGCTTTCCACACCACCTCCTTGCTGTTCCCATGAGAAAGCTGTGTGGCTAGCTGTACGTTTCTCTTATTGAGGGTGATCATAAGCATCCTACCAAACACCACAGCCCTTTAGCCATCTCTCCTTTCTCTGCTTTGTTTCTGCGATATTTATTTGCATTACATATTGCCTGGTATAGTGAGTATTTTACTTATTTTCAAAAAAAAAATGTAGGCCCCAATTTAAGAAAAGATGCTGTTTCAACTGCATGTTAGAGAGTATGAAAGAGTTTTTCAGGCAGAGAACATTTTCCTTGAGGAGAGGGAAGTTTTAAATCTTTTCACCCCTATTTTCTAAGCACCTAGAATGGCAAACACGGCATATGTCAGATGCCAATAAATAATCATTAAATGAATTAATACAAGAAATGTGGACAATAACTGCCTCTTACTTTGTGTTATCTAAGTTTTCAAACCCTGAAGATTTAAGACTAGGTCCTTTTTCATAAACTAACAACTTTTTCTCATAGCACATAGGTGCCTCAAGTTCACAGAAGTCAAAGTAATGGGAAACCTGGTGAGTGACAAGGCTGAATTCATCCAGTTCAGTGCTGAGCTTGGTAGTGAGGACAAAGAGGGTTCAGGAACAGGTGTGCTCCACATTAGATCACAAGAGGATCCTGAGGCATCTCCAGCTGCACCACATCAGGGTCTTTCCCTCTCCTTAGAACCCAGGACAGACACAAGCCTGAGTCACAGCCAGGAATGTGCCCTTTAGAGATTTAAGCCAAGATGAGAACCTGCCAATATGGGGTTTCTTGGTGATGAAAGACATCAACCAAATCACCTAAAGGCTGTACATCCTGGCTTCCTTTAAAATACTGGAGTTCAGCTGGGCAGTGGTGGCTCATGCCTTTAATCCCAACACCCAAGAGACAGAGGCAGGCGGATCTCTCTGAGTTGGAGGTCAGCCTGGTGTACAAAGCTACACGGAAAAACCCTATCTCCAAAAAAAAAAAAAAAAAATCAAAACCAGGGTTCATCAGAGAAGTTCAATTCAGGGTTCTAGTTCAGAAACTTGAAATTCCCTTGTAAAAATTCAATAGGGTTTTTTTGGTTTTTTGTTTGTTTGTTTGGCTGGTTGATTGGGTTTTTTGTTGTTGTTTGGTTGGTTGGTATGATTTTTGTTCATTTATCAGTCAGTACATTACGCAGCCCCCTTTCTTAATGTAAGAACACAGTTCTACACCCTTGAGACAAAAATTAAAATCATGGACTGATGAGAAGGCTCAGTGGGTAAAGGAGCTTGACATCAAGCCTAATGACCTGAGTTTGATCCCTGGGTCTCACATGATAAAAGGACAAAACCAAAGTCCATAAGATGTCCCCTGATTCCATGCACTTACTGTAGCATAAATAAACAAACATTTTTTTAAATGGGGACTGGAGAGATGGTTTAGCAGTTAAGAGCATTGTTGCTCTTACAGAGGATCTGAGTTCTGTTCCAAGGTCCCATATGGTGGCTCACAACCATCTGTAACTCCAGCTTCAGGCAAACACTCTTTTTTTTACCTCTGCAGACACCAGGCATACTGGTGGTACCCAAACATGCATGCATAACACCCTTTTACTTAAAAAAAAAAAAAAACTATCTAAATTTTATTTTTAAAAAAATCAACTTGAGAATTGGTAGGGGTTCCCAGAGACCCTGGCTCATACTTTCCTGTGCTGGCAGGAAGAAGAGAAAACACCAACCAGGAGAAACAGGGCACTTACCAGACACTCTGCACAACGGACACAAAGCCTGGCCACACAGTCATTGTTCTCCTCCTGGTCAGTGCTGTGGAAAGAACACAAAGTAAAACTAACTGTCACCGTCCTTAGCAAAGGGGACATTTCCAAGCTCGGGTAATGAAATCACACGAATGGTTTTATAGCTGACCCTTAAAGAGAAGCATTATGAATAAGTAATGAATAAATGTGCATGAGACATGTAGTGCATCACCCAGCAAGTGCTAGATACATAGCAGCTAGTCACCATCATTCACTCGGGAAAGGACTGAGCACCAGTCACAGCTGGAGCGCCATGCCAGGGTGGGAACAGAGGTAAAGAGGACCTGGTCTTCTGATGAGTGAGAACTGTAAGAGCTAATGTGTACTGTAATACATACAATAATGCTTTAATAGGGTGGAATTGCCATGGGCACAGGGCAGGGAGGGACCAGGACTCAAGGAGTATGATGAGAACTACACATTTAGGCTTGGTCCTGGAGGGTAAGAAAGCTTCCAGACAAACAAGAGAAGGAAGGGGGAGACTCCAGGAATGTTGGGGTCAGTAGAAAAAAATGGATGGACAAATAGATGGATGGACAGGTAGAGACAGACAGATATGCACACACACACACAAATGACTATAGTATATCTAGGAGAAAAAAACAGAAGCTGAAGATAGCTGTACTATAGAGTTAGTGGGAGCAAATGATGGAAGCAATGTGACTTGGGAACAGACCACAGAGGGTTTCATATACAGACATTGTTATTTTTTAGCCAATAATTCTTTTCATCTGTGTGTGTGTGCCTGTTTGTTACAGATTCCTTGAAAAGGAAAGTCTTTCTCCAATAAATAAACACAGACAGAAAAATTTAGACCTTCCCAAGGTTAAGACTCCCTTATCCTTAGGTTAAGAGTTCTTTCACAGACAACAGAAACATCACAGAATTGTTGTTGTATTGTTGAGGGAAGGGAGCCTCACTATGTTTCCTTGGCTGGCCTGGAACTCAAGTGCTGGGATTAAAGGTGTGTGTCTCATGCCAGCTACTGAGATCTAATGAACAATTCTGTTCCTTTTAAAAAGTAAATCTGGTCCCAGCACTCAGGAGGCAGAGACAAGCAGATCTCTGTGAGTTCAAGGCCAGCCTAGTCTACAGAATGAGTTCCAGAACAGTCTCCAAAGCTACACAGAGAAACCCTGTCTCAAACAAACAAACAAACTGTAAGGGGGAAAGGCCAGCCAAAGAAATACACCCAAAACAAAGTAAAAGGAACACACTTTGGTCCTGCAACCAGAGCAACAGAAGTGCACCCTGACCCTGAAACCAGTGCCAACAAAACACACTTTGGCCCAAGAGTCAGATTAGAGCCAAAAGGCTAAAAGGACCAGTGAAAGAAACACACTTTAGCCCTGAAACCAGAGCCAAATCTGACCCTGAAGCTGAGCAGAAAAGCAAAAAAAAAAAAAAAATCCCTGAGAATGAAAACCAGCCAATCTGAGCTCAGGGACTGAAATCTGACCAACCCCATCCTAGAAATCTCAGAAAAATTCTGCCCCTAAGAAGCCCTATATAAATCCTGTGTCTGTTCAGCTTGTGGTTGTCTGTCTGTCTTCTTCCACCCTGGCTGAGGCAGCCACTCTCCTGGATTCTTCCCTCCCAATAAATTGCTTCATTGAGGTTTGGGTGAGAGCTTTTGCTAGAATGAAGCACTTTTTGCTGGAGCCAGAGAGGAGCACTGAGCTGAGCAGGGCTGTAACATTTTTGCTGGGGAAACTTTAGTTGTTATACTCTGGGGAACTGTAACAACTTTGCCCAGAACCCTTCTGTGCCAGAGCAGCGCTGATACACTAGGGAAGCCTTTCCCTGAAGCAGGGCTTTAAACTGCTATGCTTACTGTGACTGGTGGTATTCCTTGCCACAGGTCACAGTAATACTTTCCATCCCAGCTGTAACACCCAGTATTCTGTGGCTCCTGAGTCAGAATCCCTTTCCATCCTAGCCACAACACTTATATAACACTTATAAACAACAAAAAAGTAAAACTGTTCCTGGAAAACCACTGGGTTGTGACTGCCCATTGGCAGAATGGTGATTAATAAGTAATAATGCTTTTGATAACTGTGATGGTTTGAATAAGAAGACCTTCATAGGCTCATATATTTGAATGCTTCTTCACCAGGAAGTAGAACTCTTTGATAGAATTAAAAGGATTAGGAGGTATGGCCTTGTGGGCAGAAGTGTAGAAGTGTGTCACTGGGGTGAGCTTTAAGGTTTCAAAAGCCCATGCTAGGCTCAATCTCTCTCTCTCTCTCTCTCTCTCTCTCTCGCTCCCTCCCTCTCTCTCTTTCCCTCCCTCCCCAGATTAGGATGTAGCTCTCAGCTACTTTTTCAGTACCATGCCTACTGCCATGCTCCCCACCATGATGATAATGGATTAAGCAACTATAAGCCAGCCCCCAATTAAATGATTTCCATTGTTAGAGAAGCAGTGCTCATGGTGTCTCCTCACAGCACCAAAACAGTGACTAAGGCAGTAACCACATCCATTTACCCCTTTCAGAGTATCTGCTGACCAAGAACCACACATGCTTATTTAAATTTCCTTTGCCCTTCAGGGTTATTCTCAAAACTTCCTTCATTGCTCACACATATACTGCTGGGAAACGAGACATATGGTTAAAATGTATGTACAGAGCCACAGCACTGTACACTGTGGTTCCTGAAGCAGAAGCTCCCGGTCACTCCCCTGCCTCTGTGTCAATGCCCACAATGTCACTCTAATCTTCCCTTGGTACCCTCATAGAACCATTCCATTTGGAATGAAATTTCACCCCTGGTGCTAACTTCAGCCTGGGAGGGAAAGTGTGTGGATGCAGAGTTCAGGTGCTGCCCCCCAGGCAGTGCAGGCCTACAAAAAGGATGGGGCTCACTGTTGGGGGCTCCAGCGGGACTTACTCATCGGAAACTTCAATGGAAGACTTCTTATAGCTAGACCTGCTCCTCTTCTTTGCCCCCGTTGCTTTCCTCCCCATTCTCACCAGCAGCAGAATGACCACCACTGCTGAGGGGATGAAGACCAGGATGGAGAGAAGGGCCACAGAGGACAGCATGGTGCCAAAACCTGCAGAAAAAACAGAGAGAGGACTGTGCACCTGCAGCCTTTGACTTCAGGTCAAGCCCAGACCTCTTCTGATCCCTGTCTTTGCTCATGCTTCTAATTACAAAAGGAATAAATACATCACAGGAAATATAAAAAATACAAGAAGCAAAACATGTACACATAATCCCATCACCCAGGAGTAATACATTGCAGTCTACCAATTCATTCTTCTTTCCAGGAATCTAAAAGCACATATGGGATGGGATGCATGTAAAAGCAGAGTCCTATTTGATGTGACTAAAAAGGTCCTGATTATAAATACCTTTCAAGCTGGGCGTGGTGGCACACACCTTCAATCACAGCACTGGAAGGCAGAGGCAGGCAATCTCCATGAATCCAAGGCCAGTCTGGTGGTTTACAAAGTAAATTCTAGGACAGCCAGAGCTACATACTGTAGTTCTGTCCAAAAACAAAAACAAGCATTCTGACTATTATACAAAGTACTCTACCATACTGAATCAATTAGCAAATCAATCCTCTAACTTTAAACATTCAAGTTATTTCAAATTCTTTGACTGTACAAGTCATATTAGAATGACCACTCATATATAATATATATAATATATATATATATATATGTATATATATATATATATATATATATAAATCCAAATGTTTAGCTCTGTATCTTAAGGTAAAATTTTAAAGTAGAATTGTAGGGAATACATTTTTAAGGGAACATGATTTAAGAAGTGTGACTTCTACTACTAAACTGCCTTCTAGAAAAATGAAATCTATGATTATTTAAACTTGCAATGGGTTATCGTCAAACCAGATGGTGATGATGAAAAGGAAAAAGGTGAGGAGGGAGGGGGAGAGGGAAACGGAGGAGAAAGGGGAGGCAGGCAGGGCAAGAGGAAATAAAGGAGGGAGGGAAGCCCCGAGAAATGGCAATTATAATGACTCATGATGTGCCTCCACGTCTTTGACTCAAAGCCAGTGTCAAGCTCAAATAACCACATGGTAGTCATCAGAGTGATATTTTGGGGGAAAATATCATTCATAACCTCATCTCCAGAGGAGAAGGAAACTGCTGGTCTTTGTAGCATAAAAGAAACGTAATGCTGCCCATTCTTAGAGGGAGCACCCTTTATACAAACAGTCCCATAACTGCAGCATGAACCCAACAGGACAACTGCAATGACCTCTACATTACACAGCATTAATTATGGGGGGGGGGATTGCTCAGCATTCCACAAGACATTTGGTCACTTGAAAATACAATGAAGAAGGCAATGCTAAAAATATGACTACATTGGAAGAGAATATTCCATTTTCAAAATTAAAACTGAGATAGCTCAGCCAATAAAGGCTGTTTCCGCCGACTCCTACAAGCTGTCTTGTGACCTCCAGACACACACTGTACCATGTATGCCCACACACCAACAGATACAAAATAAATAAGTGTTTTAAAATTCAATCTTAACAGGCATGTGAAGGCAACAATTTTGACACAGTGATCCTCTAAGCCAACTGGTAAGTTCCAAAAAACACTGGACAAGTCACAGCACTGTAGGAGCCTGGCAGTGAGCTGCTTACCCCGTTCTGTGACTGTGAGCTCTGTCAGGGGGATATTGTGATACACATCTGGAGGGTTCTTCACGGCACAGCTGAACGTCCCATTGTCCTTTAGCGTGGGATTGCTGATACTGATGGATGCATCCCCTTTGTACACATTTCCAACCCAGGAAATCCGGTCTCGGAAGGTTCCCGCTGTAGTTGGGTACTGGAAAGACTGGTAATGAAAAATCTAAGAAAGCAATAACCACCAAATGTTAACTTGGAAAATGCAATGAAATGAAAGCCTGAGTAGACCCAAAGTTAAAAGGAATTGTAAAAAAGAGTTTTATTTTCCCTCCAGTTGGTTTTTAATGTTTTTCTCACCGCTCTCTTAGAAAGACAGGTTAATAAAACTGATCCAAAAAAAAAAAAGATTGATGAGAGAGCCCTGGGATCTCAACCTTTAGATCTTTTCTATGGCTGGAGACATGGCTGAGGGGCTAAGAGCATTGTCTATCCAGAAGACCTGAGGGCAGTTCCCAGCACCCACATCACAACCACCTGTAACTTCAACTCCAGGGGATTCCACACTTCTGGCCTCTGAGGGTACCATCATATGTTACAACACACACACACACACACACACACACACACACACACACAAAGAGAGAGATTGAAGCAAGAACTTTCTTAATTCTTCCTAAAGCCCCCAGGTAATGACTCTCAAGCAGGGGTAATTTCACTCTCCACAAAGCATTTGACAATGAGGACAGATCCCCCCCCCCAGTTTTAAATTGTATTTATTTATTTCTAACTGACAAATAATAATTGGGTATATTTATGAAACACAATGTGACTTTTTTGTGTGGTGCTGAGTGAGACTTGAACCCTAGGCCTTTTACATGCTAAGCTCTACCACGAAGCTACATCTTGCATCTATTTTTGTTTTTGAGGAACTGCCATACCATTTTCTAAATTACATTAGTAATTTATATTAGTAAATTTCCCTTTTTTCCAACCTGTACTGATCCTTATTGTAATGTGTCTTTTTATCTTTATTGTTTTTCATTATGCATGCATGTGTATGTGTGTGTGCATGCACATGAGTGTAGGTGCCCACAGAGGCCAGGTGCCCCTGGAGATGGAGTTACAGGCTACTGTCAGCCACCCCAACATGGTGCTAGGAACCAAATTCAGGTCCTCAGCAAGAGCAGTGTATACTCTTAACCTCTGAGCCATCTCTCCAGCCCCATAATTAGCTTATTTTATAATAGCTTTTCTTGGTAGTCTGTGAGGTGATATCTCATTACTGTTTTGTTTCTATTTCCTTTATAATTGAAGGCACTGAGATTTTTTCATATACTTGATTACTGATACTGCTTCTTTTGAGAAATGTCTGCTCAGATCTTCTGCCTACTGCTTAATCAGGTTGTTTGTTTCCTTAGTGCACTTTGCTTGTTGCAACTGGGGTGGGGGGTTGCTTCAGGCTAGTAGGTAGAAGTCAAGGGCGCTGCGTTAGACAATCCCAGAGGCTTGATGTCAATAGCATCAAAGTAGGAAAACTGTACTCTAGAGTAACACCCAATGTTTGCTTATCATGGTTTGCAAATGACTTTCACTGTTTACTCACTTGGCCCTTATAACATCACCAAAGCATATGAGGCAGGTGTAACTACCCCGAACATAACAGGTGTAACTATTCCAAACTTAACAGGTGTAACTATTTTGAAAACAGGAAGAGAAATGGGACCCAAATCAAAGCATTAAATGAGTACTCAAAAGCACACAATTACCAAGTGACAAAAGGGAGATTTTTCATCTTCAAAATCACTGGGCAGGCATAATACAATCCAATCTCTCTGGGGTTCTCTCCCATGGCAGCTAATACAAGCCCACAGCAAATGCCTGGTAAGCACGCAGGGAATATCTGCTGTACTAAGGTGAGACTGCTTTGGACTTGGTCACCAAAAGCACATAGTTATGCCTGAAGGTGTGACAGGCAGGTATGACAATCAATATGACTCTTATGCAAGACAGGAGGCTTCCCTCTTTCTTTGTTTACTTGGTACCTGCCCACTTAGGACACCAGGAGTGTCCAACCACCAAATTGCCCAATTTTGAAGAGCTATTCTTCAGAGAAGATGCTGAATCATTCACTGGTTAATTTCATCAAGAATCCAGTCCCCAGATACTTAGCACACACCCCCATGTTCCAGGTGTGTGAAGGAACAGGATACAATGGGCACCCCACAGGCATGGCCTCTGTTCTCATGGAGCTTTCATTTTGATAAACAGAGATGCTAAGAACTGACATAATTGTGACAAGTGTTCCAAAGGGGGAGACAGAGGAGGTCTACACATGATTGTGTGTGCCTGTATGCCCAGTGCTCATGCGGCTGAGGCAGGAGGAGTCCTGTGAATATGAGCCCAGCCTGGGTTATACACCAAGTTCAAGAACAGACTGGAGTACAGAGCAACAAACCTGTCAACAAAAAACATCCATCATAGGGATGAAAAGCTTAAAATTTCCTCACTGACAAAACAAAGCCTGCTGTGTACCTTCCAGGTTAGTCTAACTCATGTTAAATTAGTGACCCACAATCCTTGCTCCTTGGTAGCCTGACAAGCTAACCACTTCTCCAAAATCTTGAGTTACAAGATTCCTAAATGCCATTGATTCCAACTCAGACGAGCTTGCTGCTCTCTGACTAGGTTCACAGAACAGTACTCTAGGAGAAGTGCTGTCTGCATATAAGGTTTCTGACCCAAGAAGCTCCCTACTGCTCGCTCTGTCCTACTTTTGGACAAGGAAGCAGAGCCAAATAAGGTCAGCCATGGCCTCCTGACAAGTCAGAATAAAGTGAGCTATTTTAAATCTAAAGAGACAGAACCTTGACTCCAGTCTTGTCTCCTTCACCACTGGTACCTGACCCACTCCACACCATGGTACTCAGTAACAGCTCCTAATGCACAATTCAAAGCACACTAAGATGAAAGGCAATTTTTCTTCCAATGGAGGAAAACAGAATAAAGGACACTTCCTAAAAATCCAGTCTAGGGACAGTGAGATGGCTCAGTGAGTAAAGGCACTGTGCCAGTGAGCCCGGAGGCCTGAGGATCCTCAGGATCCAAGCGGTGGAAGGAAAGAACTGGATTCTGCAAGTTGTCCTCTGACCTTCATATACTCAAAGTAGTATGCATACACAAATAAATAAATAAGTAAAATAAAAAGAAAGTAAATCTAATTTACTATGCCTATGACATTCACATTTTTAAGATTACTTTATTTTATATGCATGGATGTTTTCCCTGCATGTATGTCAGTATGTTAGTGCATGCCTAGTACCCAGGAAGGTCAGAACAGGGCATCTAATTCCCTTGGAATTGGAGTTACAGCAGTTTGTAAGCCAGAATTTGGGTGCTTGAAATTGAACCCAGATCCTCTGAAAGAGCAGTCAGTATGCTTAACTGCTGAGCCATCTCTCCAGCCCCAACATTCAAATAGATCCTTAAATAGCACCCATCCTGAACCAAGGCAACTGATGGAACTATAAAGAGAAAGGGTTTTTACAGCATTGTAATCTCTAATTAAACAACCATAATGAGACCTGAACCATAAACGTGTTTTATATGTGTGACTAAAGTATATTGCTTCTAATATTGCATGACCATCTGTCACCAATGACATCTGTCACCAATACTAGGTGCCACTGTTTCCTTCAAAGGCAGCCACATAAATCACTGCAGACGTTTACACGGCCAGAGGAGAAGCCAAGATAAATCTAGAATGTGGGATTCTCAGACAGACATGCCCACAGAGACAGCAGGGAGGGAGTAGCTTTCAGAGAAAGGATGTCAGTGACGTGAGTGGGGAATTTCTCTAGCCCACGTCCTGGAGATGCCCTTTTTTAGTATATCAGATTTAAAACAAAGCTGTAACGCCATACAGAAGGAAACAACAAGGCAACCAAATTTAACCACGTTTCCTCTTGGTTTCTGACCATTTTCTTCCTCGGAGATAACGTGCAAGAGTCTTACATAGCAGAGCAAAATGCTCAGTGTGATTAAACAAATATGAAAGGGCAGAAGCCTGGCTCACTTCAAAGACCTAATTATTTTTATTTCATTTTCTAAATTTAACTGTAGTGGGGGGGTGCAAGGGGGTGTATTGTCGGAGCACTAGTGCTATGGTTTACATGTAGAAATCAGAGGACAACTTTTGAGTTAGCTCTCTTCTACCCCCATGGGATTCAGGAATCGAACTCAGGTCATCAGGCTTGCAGAGCAGGAAAAGTCTTTCTTCCCTGAACTAGGACACCCGATCCGCTTTCTTTCTTTTTTTTTTAAGTGTAGATCAAGCTGGCCTCAAACCTGCTGTGTTGCTGAGGATGGCCTTCAATTCCTGGTCTTCCTGCCTCACCAATGCTGAAATTGCAGGTGTGTGCCACCATGCTAGGCACTCAAAGAAACATTCTAGAAAGTCTACACTTACAGATTCTGTGCGACTGCTGCTGGGGGGGCGGTATGTCCAGTCTATGGTCAGTTTGTCAGTGACATCTGAAGATGACTTGAAGGTGCACTTCAACTTGATCTTTTCTCCAACATATCCTCGGACGTGTGCATCTGCACTTATCTCCAAAGAAAGGACGGTATGTACACCTAATGGAACCAAGCCCAAATGTGAGTGAACACTATAGATGCTTTGTATCATTTTTAGGGATTTCCCCAAAATGCCAGAGCCACCAATGTATTTTCAGACAAATCTATGAGGAGCAAGGAGCTATGATCCATTAATCTTTAATAACATCTTTAGCATTTTATAGTCTTAAATCATAGTAAATAGTTGAGTAAAAGTTAAAACCTAATCACACAAGCATTTTCCCAAACACAGGCTCGAGGAAGGGTTGCCATAGTAACTAAAAAGACAACAATAACCACTTTTTCTTATGCCCTCCCCGATACCCCCTCACCCACATGTGCTCCAGAAATACAGCAGGTTTTATAAGGTCTAAGAGACTCAAGCAGTGCTGGCTCACGCCTTTAATCCCAGCACTCGGGAGGCAGAGGCAGGTGGATGTCTGTGAGTTCAAGGCCAGACTGGTATACAGAGCAAGTTCCAGACAGCCAAGAACAGCTAAGGCTATACAGAGAAACCTTGTCTTGAAAAAACAAAAACAAACAAACAAACAAAAAGAGAGAGACTCAACCAAACACAATATCATGACAGCATGATCATGATAAAACTACTAGCATTCCAACCAGTACCAAAATGAGGATAGAAAATACAAATAGGAAATTTATGTTTTAAACTGTCCTGAAGGGTTACATCTAATTTTCACCTCCTCCAGCTCTTTTTGTAAGAATCATTTTTATTCTCTTTCATTATGTGTATATATGTGTACGGGAACATCCACACAAAGCTGATACCAATGGAGGTAAGGGGCATTATCCCCTAGAGCTGGAGTTACAAGTGTTTGTGAGCCATGTGGCTACTGGGAACTGAACTCTGGTCCTCTGGAAAAACAGTAAGTGCTCTAAACTGCTAGCCCTTCTCCCTAACACCTCTTTCCTCCTCTTCTTCTTCCTCTCCTTCCTTTCCTCCTCCTCCTTGAGACAGGGCTTTCTATGCAGTAGCCAAGTCTGGCCTAAATTCACAGTCTTCCTGACTCAACCTTCAAGACCTAGGATTACAGGCATGTACCACCACACCCAGCTAGGCTTCCTCTCAAAGCTGGCTAGTGAATCATATACCTATTAAAAGTAAATTATGGAGGACTGGCTGGAGGTGTAGTTCAATGGCAGAGCACCTACCTCAACTTGGAAGATCCTAGGTTGTATACTCAGGGAAAGAAAGAAAGGAAGAGAGAGACAGAAAGAGAGAGGGAGAGACAGAGAGAGGGGGAGGGAGGGAGAGAAAAATGGAGAAGGGGGAGGAGGAGAGAAAGAGAGAGAGAGAGAGAGAGAGAGAGAGAGAGAGAGAGAGAGAACCTGGCACTTTCTTCCAACTATATGCTGTTGAGAAAGCAGTGAATAAAAATGTATCTCCCAGTGGAGAGCATTGTTTTAGGAAATTAAAACACTATCCTTTGGTTTTCCTGCTTCCTTCTCTACCTCACTAATCTACAAGGGCAAAAGGCATAGCAAGATTTCAGAAAAGAGCAAATCATCCACACCCTGCCCCAAAATCCAGTGGTCTTTCTGACACAGGCAGGATGTTGTAATGATTGAACACAAAGATGCCTAAGCCAGAATATTTGAGTTCAAACTCCAGCCCTATTGCTGGCTCTGAGCAGCTCAACCAGTTACCTTATTCCTTTAGTTTGCTCATCCTGGCAGAAACAGGGCTTACCTCTAGGTCAGTGTGAGGATTAAATAAGTTAAAACACATACAACACCCAGAAAGCCTACCTACCTTGAGCAAACACCCCAGGCCTGCTGACATCACCTCCTCTCTCTCCTACAGGCTCTCAACTTTTCCTACGATGGCATATCTGAGTCATTGTCCCAGTACCTTTACCTCTGACAGCTTTGAATCATTTTCTCACTCATCTCTGGACAATCTAGTCTGGTCACATTCCTCCTGAAAGGAGGAGAACAAGACAGCTCACTAATAAGGCCTTTAATAAGAATCCAACCCATCTCACATATGATGGCCATCTGGGTCCTTACATAGTATCCTTTTTCGACTGCCATGCTAAACGTGTCATTTCTTGTGTGCCTTTGTAAATGTTCATTCCTGTGCCAGAAAAAGCCTTCATTCTCAGGCCTTCAATCACTCCCAACAGACACATCAACGTAAAGAAAAATCCTAGTAGCACTAGAGATTCAGATCTAAAACCAGAAAGGCAGAATAAACCCACAAATTACATAGGGTCCTCATCCTGTGTTTTCAGCCTAAAACATAAGTACAATATAGAGCTTAAAGGGATAAATTTGAACTTAGACAGAACGGCACAATTTCTAGCCCATCTTATTTCTGGCTGTCAGATCTTTGCCGCAGTTCCCTAACCTGCTCAGGCTTCAATTGCTCCATTGGTGAATGAAAAGAATAATCCTCCTAGGATCACTGTGAACATCCAATAGACTTGAAACATATACAGGCCTGGATACAGTTCTAGTTGAACGTGTGAAGCCCTGTGTTCTCTTCCTAGTGCCACAATAAATAAGTGAGCAAATAAATACATACATACAGAATACTTAGTAGGGCTCTCAAGATAAAAACTTTTTAACAAATATTAGCAATTATTATTATTATTAAACACATACTAAAGATTCTGAACTAATTTCCTGCTGGGCCGTGAATTAAAATCTAAACAGGAATAGTCTGTCTCAGACACCTGCTAACTACCCATCCTACCCGTTTCACTATGGCTGGACTGTCCAGTAATTTCCCAAAGACACTGTGTCCTTTCATGTCTCCATGCTTCTCTTTGAACATATCTTTGTCTAGAAGGATCTCATCATTCCTACTACCCTGCCAGAGTTGTCCCCACCACATTCCAACATTCACACACCTTCCTCATAGCTCAGATATCAGCCTACATTGTGACAACCAAATTCCCTGAAGCTCTTTGCTCTTGCTCTGAAGCTCCCATCATACAATACTACATGGGTCATGACTACACCTGATTTAGAAAGGTCGTTTCCTCCACAAAATGCAAGCACCACCAGGGCAAAACTTCAGAGGGAAGAAGGCAGGCAGAGAGACACTGGGAGAGTCACCATGATTTCTAGTGCAAGGACAACGTGTTTGCCGCTCACGCATACCATCCCCATCAGCTTCTTCATGGGACTTTCAACACTTCTCTGGATGCTTCTGTCTGAACCCATTCTTGATAACCACTTCTAGACTGGATACCCAGATGTATAGATAGCCTCCATAAGAAATGAATGCCGGAAGGAAAGAATGTCTCAAAAATGACTCTCGGTTTCTACTTAGAAAAGCCACTCACTCAAAGAGGAAAACCAGGCTTGTGGGGGAGGGGTGTGAGTCCAATTCCTGATAAGTTTAGATGTCTTCAATACCTAAGGGATAATGCCAAAAAAGAACCATAAATCAGGGGTCAGCAATCTACGACCATGACTCAAATGGGAGCAAATGACTCTCGTGAGAAGGGAGTAATCTCATAATAATTAGAGTAACCCTGCTCTCAGCCCTGCAGGTAACCAGATTGTTCAATCAATCACTTGTGGTCTCCCAGCAAAAAGCTAAAACATTTCAACATCCTTATGTAAACAGAGTTCTATTAGAATGCAACTACACTGGTTTGTTTGTGGCTGCTTTTGCACCGTTGGCAGAGACTCAGAAGATGCAGCAGAGAACAGGTGCCCGCACAGTACAAATGTTCACTCTCGTTCCATTTTTGGAAATATTTGCCAATATCTGCGTTAGAGCTAAGACAAGATCTGGGTTAGAGTTAGAAAACAGAACCTCAAGGCAGGCAGTGGTGGTGCACACCTTTAATCCCAGCACTAGGAAGGCAAAGGCAGGCGGATCTTTGTGAGTTCAAGGCCAGCCTGGTCTACAGAGTGAGTTCCAGGACAGCTAGGGCTGTTATACAGAAAAACCTTATATCAAAAAACAAAAATAAACAAAACCCCAAAATAACAACAACAACAAAATCAGAACCTCCAGCCAGCTCTCCACAGTCTTATTCTGTCTCTGTTTCTGTGTCTTTCTCTTCATCCCTCCCTGTCTCTTCCCTTCCCCTCTGACTCTTCCTCCTCCTCCCTCCACATATCTCCTTCCCCTTCCCTTCTCTTCAGTCCTCCTTCCCTCTCCATGTTCTATCAACTCCCTTCTTAAAAACCTTTCCAACCCTATGCTACACTCATTCCAATTCCCCCATTTTAGCATAACATCCTTTCAGATATTTAACTTTTGTTTTGTTCCTTGAGACAGGATCATGCTATGTAGCCAAGCTAGGCTGGCCTGCAACACCCTATCCTCCTACCTCAGCATCTCCAGTGATAGGATCAACATGCTCTGGTTTGATATTTATTCTGGCCAAATAAAAACTTGTACTCATAAAAACTTAAAAAAAAATGGAGGCTAGAAAAATAAAACCACATTCTAATGTAAATAATTTTGGAGATGGTAGAATTAAGCATGACAAAACCAAGCCCCTAATTTTATACATCCATTTTTTCCAAAATGTAAATCTCCCCATCTTGAATTTACATGGTACTTGCACTTACATGAAAAAGAGAAAGGTGTAATACTGGGTTGGCTTTCTGTCATTATTGCTTCCTCCTCCTCCCTTCCCTTCTTCTCTTGGTTTTGTTTGGTTGGTTGGTTTGGGTTTTTGTTGTTGTTTTCTTTTTCTTTTTTCTTTTCTTTTTTTTCAGTGAGGGTCTCACATTTCTCAGGTTAGATTCACATTTGCTAAGATAACCTTGAACTTCTCATCCTCCTTCCTCCGGCTTCCTAGTTCTAGGACTACAGGTACACACCATCATACCCTGTTTTTGCAATGCTGGGGAGTGAATCCAAGGTTTCACCCAAGCCAGGCAAACACTCTACCAGCTGAGCTACATGCCCAGGCCCCAGTCTATCATTTCTATATACTTAGCACACTGAAATGAGCACCTTACAACTTAAGGTCAACTCAAACAAGATAACAATTTAAGGGGTTCTAACTTTGAAGAGGGACAACACATAGATACTTGTGGGAAAGCAAAGCCTATCACATACGATTCAAACGAGACACAACAAACAAACAAACAAATGGTGCACTGAAAACATGCTAGTCACAGTGAGAAGAGCTAGTCACAAAGGGCACACCTGGTTTACTTTGTAAGAAATGCCCAGAATAGACAAAGACATAAGTAAAGGCAGTAAACTATGGTTTCCAGAGCCTGTGGGAAGGTAGGAATGGGTATGGGATTTTTGTTAGGGTGATGGAAAACATTCTAAAATAGGTTGTAATGATGATTGTATAACTGGATATTTAATAGATGAATAAGCATGTGAGCTACATACCAAGAAGTGTGTGCTTTTTTTAAAAAAAGACCTTTATTTTTATTTTATGTATCTAAGTGTTCTTCCTGAATGTATACCTATGCTGAACTCCTAGTGTCCTTGGAGGCCACAGAGGGCATCTGAGTTCCTGGGATTGGAATCACAAACCATTACAAGCCACTATCTGGTTGCTGGGAATCAAACCAGAGTCTGTGGAACACCAACAAGTGGCCTTAACTGCTGAACCATTTCTTCAGCCCCCTTGGTTGATTGACTGGTTGACTGGTTGGTTTTTAAGGCAAAATATAAAACTATCCCAGAAGACTTGGAGGAGTGGCAGCGGAATGCAAATCTATTCAAGACGTACCCAGAGATCAATAACTTTAAAACCATCATTAGAATGTGTGCACATAGCCAGGCAGTGGTGGCACATGTCTCTAATCTCAGCACTTGGAGGCAGAGGCAGATGGATCTTTGTGAGTTTGAGGCCAGCCTGGTCTACAAGAGCTAGTTCCAGGACAGGCTCCAAAGCCACAGAGAAACCCTGTCTCAAAAAACAAAAATAATAAAATTATATATATCCCCCCCCCCCTTAGAGGCAACTTTGTTAATTAAGTTGGTTCTCTCCTTCTACCTGTATGTAGGTTCTGGAGAGGGAACCAGATCCTCAGGCTTACATGGCAAGCACCTTAACCCACTGATCCATCTCACCAGTCCCCCCAAATTAATTTATGTTTGAACAATTTTTCTGCTAGATTTAACACCTGCTTTTCTATGTGAAGTGACACTAGGTTTACAAAAAAAAAACACTATTTCTAGAATTTTTTTTCTCAATGGGGGTGGTATTTGAGCATTTCTACCCCAACACCTATGTTGTATATATATGAGAGAGAGAGGGAGAGAGACAGAGAGAGAGAATGTTTATCTAAAGTGACAGTAGGCCTACTCTATTGCAAAAAGAACTTGGATGAAAAACTGGATACTTATGATGACACAGGTGGCTGGGAGGAATCAGGGAGTGTGCTGGCAGCGTGAAGATTAGTCACCAGATAAATGAAAACCTCCTCACCTTACCTGATGAGACTGGCCGCCTAAATGTGTTCATATTTACACAATATTAAAGACCCCTTTCAGAAATGCCCATTATTTGCTGGGAGATGATACAATTCATTCTAATTCTAGCTATACTAGCATTTTATTTCTTAGGGAAAAAACACACAGAGAGAAAAAATAATCAGAAAATATATTTTCTCATCAAAATGAAGCTAATTAGTTTGGATTGAAATTTATAAATTTGGAATAATATGAAAGCAAAATTACCCAAATCTTACAATACAGTCATTATGTTAACACTATACTTCCGACGACAGTTAAAGATTAGAATTTCAAAAGAACTCCTGTGACTTTTCTTGTGCTTTAGAATGTTTACAAAGTGCTAAGGTAGTTTTTTTCAACAATGTGCCTGCTATAAGAAAAATCACACTTCTCTAAAATGTTTTATTTCATAACTCCTGAAAAAAAGTTGCCAAATTACGATTTTCCTTCCTTCCCTTCCCGCCCCTTTCTTTCTCTTTTTCTCTAGCCCTTACAATCATGATTGTGTCTCTCAATATAACTGGGACATACAGAACTGCCCATTTCTGACTAGGGTGTTAACAGCAGTGCAGAACCCAGGCAGACAATCACTGATAATCTCATACAAGAACCGTGAGTGTCCGCAAAGCCTGAGCTCGCTGAGGTTTCATCCGATCGCGGCATCAGCAAGGCAGGGTCAAGTCAGTCACACGAGGTGGTCAGGCGCTGAGAGCCCCGAGACCGACCCGGGACCAACTCTCCGCAGTCGGTGGTGCCAGCCGGGAGAGAACAGCCTCCCACATTCCCTCCCTTCCCAGAAACCGAGCGGGGGTGGGGGGGAGGTTCCTGAGACCCCCAACCCGGAACCGGAAGAGCGACCTTCTTTCCTGACCCCCTAAGCCGGAAGTGGAGCCCAGCCAGCTGGCGCACTTACCCTGGACAAATAGAATGCTTAGCAGTGGAAAGAGAGCGCAGCCACGGCCTCCTGCTGCTCCTCTTGGCTGCTGCATCCCGACAGCTCTAACGACACTTACACACCTTGTTTACAGCTCCCGGGGATCACGCAGGTGGTACCGGAAGTGACGTCATCCCGGGAGCCACCTTTGAAATGGCTATCCGGATTTACCTCGGGGACAAGGCTTGTTACCAGAATCCTACCTGTTTTCCTGATCAGCAATTCTTTGACTTTCCAGAAGGATTTGATTGCTCTCTTCTACTTCAAATTGACTACAGACTTTAAGGAAACAATTTTATTTTTATGGAATTCTTCAAGACCAGGCTTGATCTTCTGACTAACCCATAAATTCTATCTCATAGTGTCAAAATTGAACCTTCACCATAGAGTCTCATACATTTGAAGTTCAAGGATACATAGGCAAGCATACAGGTTCAAAATAAATAAATCTTTATTGGGCCCTCTGGTAAGTATTTGCAAGCCTCATCGTTCCTCTTCCTTTTAATGTAGCCATTACATCATCCAGAATTAGATGCTTATTAAACTACTGCGGTGACAGTGATGAAATCATTACAGAGTATATTCGAGGTGAAAGGGAACTAGGTTATGTGTATCGATGCATTGCAAAAGTAAGAATATTATTTCACAATAGTGGACGTTCAATGAGGTCTGACATCCTCTGGAAAAAGATGGTACAGTACCCTACTTGACTACTGTAGTCACCCAAGTCTCCTGAAGCCACTATGGTCAATGAAAGTACAATGGGAACAAAAAGCTTCAACTTACAGAAGTATTTCCTAACTGTTTCATCTGGTATACTTTACTAGACTTGAAAGTTGGAGGTTTTTTTCTATGAAGAGAATAAGAGTAGAAAAACTAGTATCATTGCTTCTTAAGTCCCCAAACTAACCCAGACAGGGTGGCAAAAATCTGTAGACTCAGGATCTGCAACACTAAGGCAGGAGAACCAAGATTAACTGTGCTTCATAGTAAGACCCTGGTGAAGGTTAGGGTTAGACTCAAGAATCTTCCCATTTCCAAGCTCTCCAAAGCAACGTGAGGAACTTACAGAAGTCATGTATATCTACTATAAATTAATTCCATCCATTACTGATTATACTGTCTCTACTAAGAAAACTGGAGCAAAGATAAGACATACCCCCTTGTTTGTTATTAACTGCTAAGTGAACTTTGCCCATTTGTATGTAAGTGAATAATGAAATCCACAATTTTTATTACTAAGGGTTTATTTACACAATGTTTCAGGCATAATAAAAAATAAATTACAGTACAAAAGTGCTCTTACGAAGGAGACACTGAACAAGGCTGTGATACCCAATGAGTATTCAGACAAGACACAAGGTGCAAGTTTGCTGGAGAAGTTTTTAACTACTTCCTTACACGTATGAAACATACACGGGCCATCATTTAAAGAAACATCCAGTTGTTAATATTCACAATGGTGAATTACAAAGAACAGGAGAAAATATAGATCTAACTTGTAGTTAAAAACTGGGTATCAAAAAGATGTGGTGGCACCCTGCCTTAAATCCCAGCGCTAGGGAGGCAGAGGCAGTGGGATCTCTATGAGTTCAAGGCCAGCCTGGTCTACAAAGTGAGTCCCAGAACAGTGAAGTCTACAAACAGATCCTGTCTTAATTAAGAGAGAACACAAAACAACAAAACTTTTTAAAGGCAGTATAAAATGCAGAATGAGAGGTATGGAGTAAATTTCAAGGGCAGATTCATATGTAAATTATGCCAATTTGATTTAAAGACCGAGTAAGAAGTCAAGATCCTGTGTCAAGGAATATACTCTATTGGAAATTCCAGTGTGTTAAAAGAAATAATCTGTGCAGCCCAGTCTAATGAGGACTAAAACATCACATTGTAATGTGGCCTAAACTTTCAGATGTTCACTGTCCTCCAAACAATGTTGTTCTGACCTGTGCACACAACAAGTAACTATAGACCCCGAACAATGTTGTTCTAGCGTGTGTTCACACACCAAAAGTATCACAAAGTCTTCCAATAAACAGCTTAAGGGTTCCAGTCTTTGAATGAGCATGGGTTCTGCTGAGGGATGGGGAACACGGTAAGCTCTGTATTCAGTACAGACCTGCAGTGAGGCTGGATGTCGTGGTGCACCTTTAATCCCAACCCTTGATAGCTGAGGCAGGAGGACTCTCTAGCTTTAAGGCCAGCTCTAAATAGCTAGTTCTAGACCAGCCAGTGATACATAGTGAGAACTTGTGGAAAAATAAATCATAAAAATGGCGATGAGCAATTCTTCCTGGTGACATTCGCGGTATACTGGTATTCCCGTGATCTTTTGTAGTTACTATGCTTAGACTTGTGCTGTCACCTATAAACTTTGTATTGTCATTAATCTAGGATACTGAACAAATTCAGTTAAATAGGATGTGTCTGTTACTTAAAGACAGACATGAAAATCAGACTTCCGGTGTGAATTTGGAGTTTGCTTTTAATCAAAAATGTCTGGTAGGTTTAGCTCACCTTTTTGTGATTTAATTTATTTTCATTTTATGTATGGGAGTTTTGCCTGCATGTATGTACCACAAACATGCAGTACCTGCAGACACCAGAAGGTGTCACATCCTCTATAACTGGAGTTGCTGATGGTTGTGAGCCACCATGTAGATGCAACAAGTACTACTAAAGGTTGAGCCACCTCTCCAGACCCTTTAGCATACCCCTATGCTGTTCTAAAGAAATTAAAATGTGAGAAGAAATGTCCTGGCAGTCAGGCTAGCTGGCATTTCTGCCCTTTCATGCCAATAAACACAAGAGTACAGTAGCCATTCTCCATAATGCATGTGGATGGACAAAAACGTAACTTCCCAGTTTGCAAAGGCTACTACACATTTGTACTCCGGAATTAGGTAAAACCCTAGTAATGAAGGTATACACAAGTCGAGTGGCGTCTGCTCAGGAAGAGCCCTAAGCTGCTCAGCAGGGGCGTTGCTCATCTAGGCAGGTTTGTGCAGCAGAACTTTCGGGATGAGAGGTCATCACTGGAAAAGTTTCCATTGACTTCAAGGGGTATTAATGTTGTCCTTGAAAATCCTCGGCTTCCTGGAATACAAAAGTTTAGAAGGATGATGTCCTTGAGAAGAGTGTAAGAGCAAAACCTAGCAATGCCCATAACATACCCATGGCATCCATAATCCACTCCTAATGGAAAATATTATTAAACTTCATCTGATAATTCAATTTTTAATTTAAAAGAGCATGCTTCCTGCTTTTTATTACATGGCTCTCATATCCAGAGAGGATCGGACTCTGTAGCCCTGGTTGGCCTGGCACTGGCACTCACAAGTATAGCCGTGACTGACCTAGAACTCAAATCAGTCTTCCTGCCTCAGCCTCCCAAGTGCTGGGATTATAGGTGTGTGCCACCACACTGGTAGTGTCTTTTCTAAGAGCCTTTCATTGACACCTGGGTAATCTATAGAGATCACTCCCATGCCTCTCCCCCATTGATTAAACCAACATACAGGAAAATAGAGAAGTCAGTGTGTAGAATTCATGTGTTGCCTATTTTGAGAGTTTTTCCTTTCTTTTGGCATTATTTACTGTTTTGTTTTATGACTGAAGTTTTTAAATTACAGACTTACCTCTATATATTATAGCATCCATTTTAAAAACCTGTTTTACTTTGTAAACATAATATTATATACCTAATAAAACCTAATAACTCCCTACTATCCACACTCATGTTCATATTCAAAATCTTAAATGCAACCTCCATTTTTTTTTTCAGACAGGGTCTTAACTGTATCCCTGGCTGCTCTGGAACTCACAATGTAGACCAGGCTGGTCTTGAACTCACAGATATCTGCCTGTCTCTTCCTCTTGAGAGCTATAATTAAAACTGAGTACTACCACTGGGCGTTGTTGGCACTCTGAGTTCAAGTCCAGCCTGGTCCAAAGAGCTAGTTCCAGGACAGGCTCCAAAACAATATAGAGAGACCCTGTCTTGAAAAACAAAACAAAACAAAAATGAATACTATCACCATGCCAAAACCCAACCTCCTCATTCTTTGTAATTTATTTAAATGTCTATCTTCTGTCAGAGATCAAGGCTATACTTGATGACATTAGTTTGTTAAATTTTCTTTAATCTTTATTCATATTTATTTATTTTATTATATGAGTGTTTTACCTGCATATTTGTATGTGTACCACATGTGTGCTGCGGCCAAAGAGCTCAAAAGAGGATGTTGAGTCCCCTGGAACAGATTGTGGAGTGTTGTGAGCCACCAAGTGGGTGCTAAGAACTGAACTCATGACCTCTGCAAGAGCAGGAAGTATTCTTAACCATGGAGCCATCCCTTGTGTCACTTAGTATTAAGCCATAAATGATTTATAATAAAAACCAAAGCATCTTCCCATAAAAAATATTTATTGGGCTAGAGAGAGAGCTCAGTTGGTAAAGCACTTGCTGTACAGGAATAAAGACCTGAGTTCAATCACCAAAATCCATGTAAACAATTGGGTATGGTGGCGCATGCTTAGAAGCCAAGCACCGGGGAGGCAGAGGGAAGCTTTAGTGGCCACACAGCCTACCTCAAACAGCAAGTCCCAGGCCAGTGAGAGACTGCCAGAAAGTAAAGCAAAACAGAGAACAAGGTAAATGGCACTGAGGTTGTCACCTGATCTCCACATGCATGTGCACACACACACATACATACACTCACACACACACACACACACACACACACACACACACACACACACACGAGAGAGAGAGAGAGAAAGAGAGAGAGGAGAGAGAGAGAGATAGAGAGATGATGTTTTCACATGCTGGAAGTTCATTATTGGTGGTGGTTAATATAACACCAAAACTTCAAAAAGTAGAGTCCTCTTGGCTTTAAAGGAAGTAGTCTGGCTTCTTAATCATTTGCACAAGTACCCTGAAAGGGGAAGTCATCTATGAAGCTAATAAGAGACAAATCTGCCTGGTCTCTGCTTCTGAATAGGAATGTCATCGGCCATGGAGAGTGACCAGAGAGATCCATCCGTGTGGGAAATGTGCTAAACAACGGGGCAAACTGAACACAGAAGTCACTCATGTGGGACCTTACCTCACAGTGTTAGTCTGATTCTTCCAAATAAATGGAGGCCTTGTTCTCTTGTTTGAGTTTTTCCTCTTCTTTTCTGTAACAAAGGAACAGAAACCAAATGTCAGGTAAGCAAGACAAGAAGCAAAGGCACCAGGTCCCATAGCAGCACCAGGTAAGGCACCTGGCCCTGGCCCTATGCCTTAGGGAAAGGTAGGCACCTGGAAGTCCATTCAAGCTACAGAGAGCTAAACTACCAGTACTGTGTAAATGATAATACTGATGCCCCCATGCAGCTCAGGGGTCTGAACTCAGGCACATCCAAATGCAAGAGAACTCCCAGAAGATCTAATATAGCACAGCTGAAGTTTAGAGTACACATCTATATTTCACTGTGATATCTTACTTCTAATGTCTACACTCCTCTTCAAAAAGGGGATTTTTTTTCTAGTTGGCCTAGAAATCCTCTTTATTGATTGTATTCTCTTTAAACCTGAATGCCATTGATGGGTTCCTTAGATGCTTCCCAACCAATTACACATGTTTCAGTAATGGTTCCGGGGTACTTATAAATCCATATGCAAAAAAATAAATTGAGACTCTTAATTATATACAAACTTAACTCAAAATACATCAAAGATATAAATTTAAGAATTTAATCAAAATATAAAATTCTCGGAAGAGATGGACTTCATGAAAACTGAAGGCTTTTGTGTCGTTAATGGATAATATTCAAGAAGCAAAGAGACTCAGAGAATGGGAGCAATTGCAAGTAATGTAACTGAAAGGTGGCAGGCGCCCTAACAATAATCCATCTCAGTTAGAGGGTGGGCAGACTATCCGAACACATACATTTCCAGGGCGCTCTATAAACTGCCACTAAACACATAAGAGGAGGATAAGGTCCATCAGTCATCAGTAAGATACAAATCAAAATCACCTGAGATAACACCTCACGCCCACTAGAGGGCAATAATCAAAAGTGCTGGTGAGAACACAGAGAAATTCTAATGCCTGCCTATGTACTGCTGATAAGAAAGTCTTGGCTATTATGGGAAAACAGTTTGTCAATTCCTCCAAAAAGTCAATAGTTAACAATGATCTGGCAATTATCCCTTCATTATTGGGAGAATTGAAAGTATGTGTACACAAAAATGTGTGTACCATATGTTCATAGTGATTGATATTATTTGTAATTGCCAAAAAGAAGAAAAAAATACAAAGTGTATGTTCATCAGCCAAGTAGACAAACAAAATGTGGTGTGTCCATTATAGTGGAATATCATACAGCCATAAAAAGGAATGAAGGAGGACAGGGAGATAGTTGAGTGTGCAAACTGCTATTTAAGGATCTAAGTTCAGATCTCCTGGTGCCATGTAAAAAGCCTCCGCTGTAATAGTGAATCCCTTTAGTCCTAATGCTGGGAGGTGGAGACGGGAGGATCCCAGAGGCTTGCTAGACAGCTAGTCTAGCTGATCAGTGAGCACCAAGCTCAGTGAGAGACCATGTCTCAAAGAACAAAGTAGAGAGCAATAAGAGGAAGACACCAATATGGACCTCGGCCTCCACATGGGCACACACACCAAAGTATGAAGTAGTAAATATTTTACAACATTGACAGCGTTTGAAAACGTACTGAATGGAAGAAGCTAATACAAAAGGTCAGGTATTTTATGGTTCTGCTTTAAATTACATGCTCAAGATAGACACAGTCCTACATAGACAGAAAGCAGGTAAGTAGCTGTGAGCTAGTGGGAGGGGTTGATGAGGAGATGATGGGTAGTTTCTTCAGGGGCAAATGTTCAAAGGGCTCTAGAATTGGTGATTGTTGCACAACTTTGTATGTTTAAAAGGGTGCATTTACTTTCAAAGGTTTGTTTATTTTATTTGAATGTTTTGCCTGTGAATATGTATGTGCAGAACCTACAGAAGCCAAAATGAGGGTGTCAGATCCTGGATCTGGACTTATAGGCAGTTGTGAGCCTTATATGGATTCGGGAAATTAAACCCAAGTTCTCTGCAAGAGCATGCAGCATTCTTAACTGCTAAACCATCTTGTTGTCCCAAACGGGTGAATTTTATAGCTTATAAATTTTATCTCAGTTTTAAAATGTTTACTGAGCACTTACTGTCAGCACAGCAAACTTTCCCAGCCACTGATTCAGCCTGTAGCTCTCACCATCGTGCCTCCCTTTACAGAGAATTCTCTTAAAGCTTTGCGTGCACTTTTTATGCCACCAAAACCCCACATAATAATGAAATTCTTTGGTGAGATCTTTTGTAAAATTATGAAGCCTTTTGGATTTTGTTGTTGTTGTTTAAAGATTTATTTTGTTTTTAAGTATGTGTATGTGTCTGTCTGGATGCAGGTTTGGGCACATGAGTGCAGGTGGTCACAGAGGCCAGAGGCATTGCATCTCCCTGGAGCTAGAGTCACAAGCTGCAGTGAGCCACCAGATATGGGTGCTGGGAACTGAACTCAGGTCATCTGCAACAGCAACCTATGTGCTTAACCACTGAGTCACCTCTCAAGCTCCATTAAGAAGCCTTTTGTAAAGTCACTACCCATGTCTTTATTTATCTGTCCTTTGAAATGGAGCCTCTCACACATTTGGTCAAAAACAAAAACAACTGTTCAACAGTTATTTGGTCCCACTGAAAAATACCAAGAGCCACCCCAAGAGGATGAGCAGACATTGACACCAGTGTTCAGTCAGCCTTACGATTTTATCTCCACGTCTTTATCAGCCCTTTTCGCCCATCGCTTTTTCCGGAAGTGCTGGAAGAGGACCACAGCAATTACTACTATGATCATCACTACACACGCAGAGCCAATGGCCACAGCCAGGAAGAAGATCTCAGAGAAGGGCACTATGAGGAGAAAAAGACAAGACAGCACAGTGAGCTAGGTGAAATCTAAAGGCAGCAATGATGCATCTCAGTCAGTAACCAGCATCTTCCTTTCTCCTATTTTTACAATTAAAACAGCACAGCATGCTGTAGCCTTTGGCAGCAGTGGGAAACCTACACACAAGACATAAGGGCTTTTCTAGTGTGACTCTAGAAGAAGTGACATCACCACTGGAGAGCTCTGAAGTGAGATTCTCAGGCCCTACCCAAGCATGCTGGACTAGAAGCACTGGGGGGGGGGGGTGAATCCAGTCATCCAGTCTGCGTTTGGACATGTCTTCCGGGTGATGGTAAGGACAGCCAAACACTGAGAACCACTGAGTCAGTTAAACTGCCGGTAATTCAAGTTACTGCTACCCTAGTCAGAACTCTGTCTAACTCAGTCCTGTGAACTACTCACCCCTTTTCCCAGTCAGGCCCTAAAGTGCCTACTGTGTCATCATGATAGAAATGTGCCCAAGGTGCTCTCTCTCTCTCTCTCTCTGTGTGTGTGTGTGTGTGTGTGTGTGTGTGTGTGTGTGTGTGTCTTCATGCCATAAAGGGCATGAAGAGAATGTCTATACGTCTATGCCAGGAGTTTCCAGCCCAGAATCCATCAGGAAGGATGAAGAAGTTCCAGGGGAGGGAAACAGCCACAGCTTTCTATAAGTTCTCAAAACTTATTGTTTTGGGTTTTTTTTTTTTTTTTTAACCTATCCTATCAGAAAGGAACAAAAACAAGCCGGGCAGTGATGGCACACACCTTCAGTCCCAGCACTCAGGAGGCAGAGGCAGGCAGATCTCTGAGTTTGAGGCCAGCCTGGTCTACAAGAGCTAGTCCTAGGACAGCCTCCAAAACCACAGAGAAACCCTGTCTTGGAAAAAAAAAAATTGAGATCTGAAGATATTGCATTACTTCTTTCAGTACTCAGGTGATCCATGTAGACCACACGGCTGTCTCCACTTGGTAGAGCCTAGAAAGATGGTTTTAAACTGATCTAGGTGATAGTGACAGGAGACAATCATACCACTTGACATACTAAGATGTTTTAGACAATGCTATTAGTTAAGAATACATACTACCTTAACTCTTAAGAAGCTGAGGCAAGGATCTCAGGTTTGAGGCCAGCCTGAGTTATATTGAGAGATCTTTTCTCAATAGCAAAACTTCATATCTCTCTCTCTAATACACACACACACACACACACACACACACACACACGAGAGCTAGCTTTATCTAATTAACTGTATGACCTGGGCTACTTATTTATTTTTATTGAATCTGTTTCCTCCTATGTTAAGACAGAACAATATCCATTTCTTGAGTGCTTATAAAAAATAAAACAATTCCTATAAATTGTGCCTGACTATAATAAATGCTGGGTACATGTAGTTATTATAATTTTCAGTACAGTTCAGAATTTGGAAGACTTCCACAAATTCATTGCATCATTTTGTCCTCACCATACTCATGACAAGAGTAAAATTTAGGTATAATTAATACACAAGTAGCCAGGGTTCAACCCCAGTTCTCCAACTTAGAAATGTTGCCATCCATGTTCTTTGTCACCTGGCATCATTTTCCAAGTTGTCTTTGTAGTGCAGGCAACTCAATAAACTAGTTAGAGAACAGTTTGAGAGTCTGGGATGGTTGAGTTTGAGTCTGAAGTGACTTCATTTATTACCTATATGAATTTGGGCAAGTGATTTACATTTGGTGAGTCTCAGTTTCTTTGTTAGTAAAATGGGAGACACTAGATATAACACAAACTCATTAGATGTTTAAAGAATAAATAAGATGAATCTGGAGAGATGTTAAGGGCACTAGCTGCCTTTTCAGAGGACCTGAGTTCGATTCCCAGCACTCACATGGTGGCTCACAACTATCTGTAACTCCAATTACAGGGGATCTGACACCATCTTCTGGCCTCCATGGCCACCAGGCACTTAAGTGGTACACAGACATATATGCAAGCAAACCACCCCTGCAATAAAGTAATAATATTTAAATTGTTTTTAAAAGAATAAAGAAAAGGTATCATGTAAAGCTCCTGAGAGCTGTGAACACTGGATAAACACTGGGGACCAGTACTGATAGTGTGTCTGGATTGAGTGAGAGAACATGTGCCAAGCACTTTGGATTGTGCCTGGCACACCAGGTGCTCAGTGAGCGTTGGAATAAGAATGAACTGTCCTATTGTGAGTCTTTTTTATCAGAGTCGCTTCCTGTTCCTTTCACTATCTCAAGGCCGTTCTTGTCACAGATTCCTCAGATCTCTTTGCGTTGCTTTGTTTCTTTCCAGGGCCAAACAAAGTCTTTATATTTTCACTCCAGCCTCTTCAGTCTCTGAAGTTCCCAGCCCTGAAACCCAGGCCCTCCACTTTGGTTTTTTTTTTTTTTTTTTTGTTGTGTTTTTTTAATTCTGGTTCAGTTCTCACATCCCAAAACCTACCATTGTGTACCACGCTGAGCCGGATTGACCCTACCAGACCATCAACGTCAGGTGGGTTCTTCACCTGGCAGGTGTATGTCCCATTATCATCGAACTGCAGCTTCCAGAGGATGATGGAGACATCGTACCGTTCAGGGTTCCCATCCCAGACCACCCGGTCCTTGAACCGTCCACTCATGGGTCTGAAGGGATCCATGTGGTAGTAGAACACCTACAGAGGAAAAAGAATGAAATCCCCCACTCAGGACAGGGCAGGAGGCTGAGACGGTGTGGGTGGGTGAGAAGCCTCAGCAAGTCTGACCAACAGTCCAACTAGCTCCTCAGAACACTCTCTTGCTTCCCTTTTTAAAATCTATCACTCTCTGTCCCAAGAACTGGCTCCCTGGTTAATCCCAGGCATGTAGGTAACACTGGATAGGCAATAAATAAATAAAATGAATAAATAAATAAATAAATAAATAAATAAATAAATAAATAAATAGGATTGCCTTAATACAGTGGTTCTCAACCTTTCTAATGCTGCAACCCTTTAATATATAGTTCCTCATGTTGTGGTGAGCCCACCCCACCATGCTACTTCATGACTATAATGTTGGTACTGTTATGAACCACAATGTAAATATCTATGTTTTCCGATGGTCTTAGTTGACCCCTGTGAAAGTGTCCTTTGACCCCTGAGAATCACTGCCTGAATACATCCTAGTCAAGGCTCTGCTAGAAGGTGACAAGAATCTACTTACAAACTGCTCGCGGCCCCCATCTCGAGGACGGAAATTCCAAGTCACTGTCAGGGCATCGCCCACAGGGGCAAAGCTGGAGAAAGTGCATTTTAACCGAACATCTGTCCCGTTGACTGCCTCCAGAGCCCCGGAGGTGTAAATTTCCACGGCTGCTGCAGGACAAAGAGCTGCAAGGAAGGGAAGGAAAGGAGTTAACAAGGGTATAGCATTGTGGAAAAAACGCTGACATTTTCCGGATAAGCCAACCTCCAAACTCACTTCATCTGGAGCCTGAGTACACTCCTACCTACACACAACCTTGACCCTCGCATCCCGAGGGCCAATTAAAAGTACTGCCCGGCAAACTACCCAGCGCTCTCACTTTCTTCACAGCCTCACGGTACCAACTTCAGAACTACAACCACAAACTACAAACATCAGTCTAAATAAGATGTAAAGTAGAAACAAAAATTCAAACGTTGGTCAAACATGGAATACTAAGATCAAGCATAAAGTGTATGTTTAAAAAAGTGTCTCCAAGCGGATAGTCTTCCAGCATGTAGACTTGGGACTTGCAGGTTAATCCGCCCCAGCAGCTGCGCTTGCCTCCACCCCTTGAAACTTACATCACATGGTGTATTTACAAGTGCAGTGTGTGCATTGGGGCAGCTTCAAAACCACAGCGGGGCTCTCACTCTGATAATCTAGGTTTTGCTCCGTGGTGCTGCAGGGAGCCGCAAACAAAATCCTCCCACAGAAATCCAAGGGCCAAATCTATCCAGCAGCCCGAGGCTGGGAGCAGCCACACAAAGATGGTGTGTAACCTGAGATCAGAAAGCCCTGTCTGTGCCTGAATCACGAGCCGCCAAACACACCTAAACCTGTTTGCCCAAAGCACAACCCCAAAGGAACCAACCGAACTCAAGTTTCGGTGAAGTCTGGACTAGAACGAACTGCAGCCGGGTCTCGAGCTCCCAACAGAGCCCTTGAGACTTCTTCAGAGCGTGAGCTCGGTCTTCACATAGAGTGGGCGGTGAAAGTAAAAACTTCTAGAAGCCTGCCAGTTCTTACCTGTGAGCTGTAAGCCCAGGAGAAGTGGAAGCACACGCGCAGGGCTCTTACCATACATCAGGGAAAGCCAGCCGTGGCCCCGAAGGCCAGACCCGGCAGACCCAGGGCTCCAGTACCCTGCCAAAGCCAAGGCCAGGACGATCAGGCACTGCTGTTTTCCCCCCAGAGAGGTCCGAGTCCCTCACCTATGGGAAGGTGCACTGCAGAGCCAGCCAGTCCTGACTCATCCCGCCTGGCCAGTGCAGCGCTGGAATGAAAGGTGGGGCCTCCGCACCCAGCGCCCTCCTCCTTGTCCTCCCTCCCGCTCTCCTCCACACTCCAGCCCTCTGCGCAAAGGTCTCAGACTCTCCCGTCTCTCTTTGCTTTTCTGTTCATCTGACCAAGGTCTGGCCTCTGGGTGGCCTCAGAAGCAGCCAGAAGAGGTGGTGCCAGTTTGAAATGTCCCAAGCTGCTCTGGGCTTGGCCACACACACCCTTTTAAAATAGGCTATAGTCTTGCCGAGGAAGTGAACATTGAAAGTAGCTTGCTGTGATTCCCTCCCTCAGGGCCACATAACCTAGAGCCTGGCTCAGTGTAACTCCCAGAAAGAAGGGGAGTTCCTTAGGCCTCTCTGGAAATCCAGTCCCACCCATGATGCAGGGAGTTCTTCCTGAGACTCAGCAGAAAAAAACCAAAGTAATGTCAAGGCTGGATCCTTTCCCAGGTCAGGACAGCTCCCCTCCTCTTCCCCTGCCTCAACCCCAGCACAGTTTGCAAAGTACGTTCCGGCTATCTTTTCCTCTCCACAACCCTCTGGGAAGGGGCACCATTTTAATCGTGAATAGAGTAGCAGCCCAGGAGGTAAGCAATTGCCTGGAATCTTTTTGAGTTTTATTTTACAGTTTGAGACAGTCTTGTGATGTATCCCAGGCTGGGCCTTGAACTTGCGTTGCCATTACTCAGCTCTGGCAATACTCGGGATTAAACCCATGACCTTGTGCTTACTAGGCAAACACTCTGGCACTGAACTACACCCACAGCCCTATGGGAATCTTTCTGACTTGCATGTGTTCTCTGTCCACAAAACAAAGGCCAATATGGTGAACGCTCAACGAATTCGTCATTCAGAAGGAAGACCTATCTTGTATCCCAGGTTTCCACTGCCATTATTAGGACAACCACGTATTTGAGAAGTCTAAAGCGTTGAGATACAGGAGAAGAGTCACAGATTAACGACACAGCAACAAGCTGACAAAACAGGAGACCAAAGGCAGCATGCAGTTAAAAAGTGGGCGTAGTCAGCTCTATAGTATTGGCGCCACCAAGTCAACAAGCCGGGCCACCTGAGTCCTCTCTCTAGAACTCACAAGGTGGAAGGAGAGAATCATACCTAAAAGCTGTCCTCCAACCTCCACATGTATGCTGTGGTACACATGAGCACACACACACACACACACACACACACACACACACACACACGGAGACTAGTTAAAATGTAATTACAAAATTTTAAAGTAGGCCAGACCGGCGGGCGGGGGGTGGGGGGTGATACCCTGAACAAAACTGAGTTACCTATCTAGAAACCTTTTAGTGACTCATGGCCTTTAGGCTGAGCCCTGGAACAAAGAGTGCTGGGAAGGGAAGCAAGGGCCAGGTTGAGTAGAAAAATAAAGAAACATCAGGCTAGGGATACAAGCAACTCAAGGACAAAGCACAAGACCTATGGAGTGGGAGATAAAGTAAAAGAGATGAAATCCCACGCAAAGAGAGGTGAATTATAGATATGAAGAAAAAAGAAAAGCACAGGAGAGAGGTGGGGAAAAAATGGGTAGACACACACCCAAACTTACTCATTAAACTGGGGAGCCCAGGGGCTGCCCCAAAGGCAGGTCAGCAGCAGTAACCAATGTGTGACTGCAATGAGTGTTTCTGTAAGTGTCTGGCTCCTTCACCAGCCTCTAGGTCATTCTGAGCAGCCCAAACTGAAAACTCTGGGATGATTTGTGGCATTTACATAGTAGTAGTAAAATGCAGCCTTTCCTGTCTGTAGGTCAGAAAAAGTCAGCTCCAGGAACGTGGTAAAGAAAAATGTTAAAGGAACTTCATTCTAGTCAGCTTTCAACTTTGTTGAGAAATGAAGTTCCAGAAGGAGAAGCAGAGGCAGGGGCAGGTTAAGTTGACAGAAGATTGCCAAATTCAGTGAGAGGTGGAGTTAGCTGAAGGACATTGAAACACAGCAGGTGAGGAATCAGAGCAGGGCCACTGTACAGAATAGAAAGCCTGTTGTCCCAGCAGAGGAAACCCTCCCCAGTCGCCAGATGCCCTGAGAACTGGCAGCCAGCCCTGCTCTGAGGGGCACAGCTGCCCGGATCCCATTCCTCAGTTCAGGTCAAGTTCTTGGCATTGTGCTTGGCAACGCCCAATTCCTTCCAGTTAACAGGAGAGGCTCCAAGTCACTCACTCTCCCCCACCCTGGGTGAGGAAGGAGGCCAAGAACTAAACCTGCTATGAGAAAATGACAGCTAAAAAGACCATGGCCCCTCGGTATTCCAACGATGCCAGCATGCAGGGTTTTGATCAAAGGCAGAGGCACTGGAGAACATCTTAAGGAATAGAATGTGTCTTGGGGAAAAAAAAAAAAAAAAAAAAAAAAAAAGAAGAAGAAGAAAGGAAGGAAGGATACAAGGAACTATTCAAAGACCCTGTCTTTCCCTTAAACTTTTCCAAAGAGCCTTGGAGCCTGGTTGTCACTAAAGTGTGTACCATAACCTCAGTTTTTAAAGACACCATCTGCCCCAACTGTCTACATAGGTAGCTGGAGGATATTTAGACTTCCACAAGCAGGAAACTCACTGGAGACTCAGAAGACATAAAGACACTGCCTGTACCAATTACTTGTAAAACATATTCCCCAGCATCCTGGGGGGGGGGGCACAAACAAAAACACCTGTTATTTTCAACATTATATGAAGTCAGCACTCTGTGAAGCAGGGAAAATATATAATTTAGCTTTAAGGGTTGTTCAAACAAAGCATTTGTTTGCTCAGAAGTTTCTATCAGGGGTCCTACTAAGGGGGAAAAATATGTTAAATGCTTCCTGTGAGCTAAGGATGCAGTTTACTTGGTAGAGTTCTTGCCTAGCATCCAGGAGGCCCTGGGTCCCATCCTCAGCACTGCATGAAACTGGGCTGTAATCCCAGCTCTCGGGAGGTGGGGGCTAGAGGGGCAGGTCAGAGTCAGCCTCAGCTGTGTGTTTGGAGCTAAGCATTCGAAGAGAGCCTAGACTGTGTGAGAGCCTGTCTATACATAGAGGGGGAGGGCAAAGGAAGGGGGAAGGGAAGGGAAGAGGGGGTGTTAAAATGTTCCTCATATGCTAATCTAAACACACAAAGCAGAGTAAGGCATTTGGGTCTGACACCAACTAAAGAGTATGGGGTGGGCATGTCTGGGTAATCAATTACATTTGTGACTTTTGAATTTGGTCCCAAAAACATAGGTAGAATTCTGGAAAGAAAAAAAAAAAAAAAAAAAAAAAAAAAAAAAGAAAAGAAACAGGGTTTTCTGTTGGGACAGATGGATGGGATGAGCATCTCTTCTTTGCACCCTTTGTTAACATCCTACACACTAAACTAGTAGGGCATGTTTTGTGTGTGTGTGTGTGTGTGTGTGTGTGTGTGTGTGTGTGTGTGTAAGAAGAGTTTCTATAAAGTGGAATTACTTTGCTATTTCTCAGAACCATTAAGAATAAAAATGTGGGGGCTGGAGAGATGGCTCGGTGGTTACAGGCGCTTGTGGCTCACACAGAGGATTGGAGCTCTGTTCCTAACAGCCCCATCAAGCAGCGCACAGCCACCTGTGACTTCAGCTGCAGGTGACTGGCTTCTGCAGGCACGGCACTCACAGCACAAAACCACACACAGACATGTGTAGATATGGGTATCACAATTTTAAAAGAAAAATTAAAAATCTTAAAAAAAAAAAAAAAACTTAAAACCAGGCTTAGGCTATAGATCAGTGGTAGAGTCCAACCTCAGCTTGGAGTGAAAAAGGGTGAAGGCTGAGGAGGGCAAGGAAGAAGGAAACTTTGAAATACCAACCAACACTTACTCTCCTCAGTTTCTCATGGACTCTGGCCTAGAAGCCAGGATGAAAGTGTGTATCTGTAGAAGACTCTAGGATTCCCAGCCTTCCCAACAACTGCCAAACACAGCATCCTTTTTGACACTCCTTTGCTTCTGAGAGAGCTGGAGGTGGCAGAGTACCAGTTGAGAGGTGGCCTCTGTGCCACAAAGAATAGGCAAGTTCCTTTTCGCCCCTACCTTGCCTTGGGTGTCCCAGACATAATGCAAACAGAGTCTGAGTCTGAGACTGGCTCTCTGTCCATGAAAACCAGGGGAGAAACCCTATCCTATATTCTTGCCGAACTTAGTTCACTACCTCTCCTGTAAAGCCTCAGGCTTCTCTTCTAACATCATTCCCTCATTAATCAGCCCAACAGAAAGACTTGGAAGTTTAGCCTTTCACTCACTCCTGAGGGAAGCCAGATGGATGCACAGGGTGGAGAGATAGTCCATCTTAGAAGATAAGTTGGAAGAGGTTCTCTGAGCACTTGTTCACACACTGATAGCCATCAATTCTGCAACAAAATGATAAGAAACAGTTTACTGTCATATTACCTCTTCATTAATGCCATTTCTAGTCTTTCTGTTTGTTACCATATTATAATTGGTTACTATGATCTGCTTTCATTCATAGAAAATCCATTCATTCAACTATCGCCCCCTCCATTGAATTATAGGAGGCATGAGTCATCAAAGCTAGGGTCTGATCTACACAGGTTCAAATGGAAGTTCAGCCACTTATTCGCTGTGCGACTTCAAGCAGTTATTTTATTCTCTGTTCCTCATTTACCTCAGGTACAAAATGGGGGAGGGGAACCCATTATGTGCCCACATAGGCAGACCTAAGAATAAACTGATACATTCTATGCTCAGGGTACACAGAAAATTTTAGCCATTTGTGATTTTACTTAGGTAAGATGCTGAGAAACTATCCACATGGCCTCTTTAGTGAAATGCTTATGTAGACCTACAACCACCCTAGCAATTCTATCCCAAGGTATTTACCCAAGAAGGAGATCTCCTAGGAAATTATTCATGGCAGCTTTGTTCATTAATATCCCAAACCAGAAACACCCCAGGGGTCTGTCAATACAAGGTGGATGAGTATGTTATCAAATGTTCCTAAAATAAATGCTAATCAGCAATAAAAAT